ATTGTTCTTGTAAAATGTTTCCATTATATCAGTAACAAAAGTGTACATCTTTAAATGCATCCAGATTACAGTGAAGCGCAACAGTTATCGTACGTACGGTGCTCAGCAGTGATCAAAAAGGAATTTTGAGGGGATCTCTTCATGTAAACTCAGAGATTAGGGGAGTTCGAAACTTCGGACGGGGATTAAACCACCACACGATCTTCCTGTTTGTCAAAAACAAACTTCGGTACTTCAGCCTGGGAGAAAAACACATTCTGGATTCAGACGGCAATAAAATCTCAGACTAACCTTGTAAATGGTGAAAACGCCTTACAACCCCATGAGAAAAAATCCATCTGAAAAGGGCTCAAGGTTGTTTCACTTGAGACCAAAAATAAATTTGGTTGTATAGTCTTTCAAATGGCAGGTAAACTTCATGAGTGTATTGAAGGTGATTTACTAAGAATTCATGAGTTCCTTTGCCCATATAATCTTTAAGCTAATAAGGTTAAGTGTGTTTGGCTTGATGTCTGCAGTGGAGGGGCTCAAAAAAGCAGCTTTAACTCGAGCTGAGATAAACCCACCAGGAGGGAACACTGATGCTGGGATAAACCACCAGTGGGAACACTGATGCTGGGATAAACCCCCCAGTGGGAACACTGATGCTGGGATAAACCCCCCAGTGGGAACACTAATGCTGGGATAAACCACCAGTGGGAACACCGATGCTGGGATAAACCCCCCAGTGGGAACACTGATGCTGGGATAAACCCCCCAGTGGGAACACTAATGCTGGGATAAACCCCCCAGTGGGAACACTGATGCTGGGATAAACCACCAGTGGGAACACTGATGCTGGGATAAACCCCCCAGTGGGAACACTGATGCTGGGATAAACCCCCCAGTGGGAACACTGATGCTGGGATAAACCCCCAGTGGGAACACTGATGCTGGGATAAACCCCCCAGTGGGAACACTAATGCTGGGATAAACCCCCCAGTGGGAACACTAATGCTGGGATAAACCCCCCAGTGGGAACACTGATGCTGGGATAAACCCCCCAGTGGGAACACCGATGCTGGGATAAACCCCCAGTGGGAACACTAATGCTGGGATAAACCCCCCAGTGGGAACACTAATGCTGGGATAAACCCCCCAGTGGGAACACTGATGCTAAACCACCAGTGGGAACACTGATGCTGGGATAAACCCCCCAGTGGGAACACTGATGCTGGGATAAACCACCAGTGGGAACACTGATGCTGGGATAAACCCCCCAGTGGGAACACCGATGCTGGGATAAACCCCCCAGTGGGAACACTGATGCTGGGATAAACCACCAGGAGGGAACACTGATGCTGGGATAAACCCCCCCTCTGGGAACACCGATGCTGGGATAAACCCCCCAGTGGGAACACTGATGCTGGGATAAACCCCCCTATGGGAACACTAATACTGGGATAAACCCCCCCATGGGAACACTGATGCTGAGATAACCCCCCAGTGGGAAAACTTACGCTGGAATAACCCCCCCCCCCCAGTGGGAACACTGATGGTGGGATAAACCCCACTATGGAAACATTGATGCTGGGATAAACCCCCCAGTGGGAACACTAATGCTGGGATAAACCCCCCAGTGGGAACACTGATGCTGAGATAACCCCCCTATGGGAACACCGATGCTGGGATAAACCCCCAGTGGGAACACTGATGCTGGGATAAACCCCCCTCTGGGAACACCAATGCTGGGATAACCCCCCCCCCCAGTGGGAACACTGATGCTGAAATAAACCCCCCCGTGGGAACACTGATGCTGGGATAAACCCCCTTATGGGAACACTAATGCTGGGATAACTTCAATACACGGGAGATAAATTGTGGGCCACGATCAGAAATGATGTCTTCGGGAATACCAAAATGACGGAAGATGTGAGTGAAAAGAGCTTCTGCAGTTTCAAAGGCTGTAGGTAAACCCGGTAATAGAATAAGCTTGCATGCTTTAGAGAAATGATCAACCACGATCAAAGCACAGGAGTGAGAATCAGATGAAGGGAGGTCGGTTATGAAGACTACCCCGAGATGAGACCAAGGTCTAGTGGGCACCGGAAGAGGAACGAGTTTACCTTCAGGGAGACGTCGAGGTACCTTGGCCATGGCGCAGGTAAGACAGCCTTTGACATATCGGGAGACATCCTGGGTCATATTGGGCCACCAGTAGCGTTGTTGAATGAACGAGAGGGTTTGGTGGCTGCCTGGGTGTCCAAAGCCCGGAGATGTATGTACTGAGTCCATGAGAGATGGACGTAAACAAGATGGCACATAGATACGTCCCTCAGGACCTCCCGGCGGAGCAGGTTCTGTCTGAGTGGCTTCCATAATGTGATCGTCGATGCTCCTCTGGATGGGACTGACTATCATGGCTGGAGGGGGAATGGATTCAGGTTTGGAAGAATTGGAGTCAGGTTGGTATAAACTAGAGAGTGAATCAGCATTAATATTCTTGTCCCCAGGGCGATAGGTTACCTTGAAATTGAAACATGTAAAGAAGAGTGACCAGCGGGCTTGACGAGTATTGAGACGTTTTGCATCTCGAAGATATTTCAGGTTCCGATGATCTGTAATGACGTCAAAACGATGTTTTGCTCCCTCCAGCCAATGTCTCCACTCTTCTAAAGCCAGCTTGATGGCAAGAAGTTCCCAGTTACCAATGTTGTAATTCTGCTCTGCCGGGGACAGTTTCTTGGAAAAGAAGGCACATGGATGGAGTCTGGGAGGCTTCCCCTGCCGCTGCGACAACACCGCTCCTACTCCAGTAGTAGAAGCGTCCACCTCAACGATGAAAGGAAGCTCAGGGTTTGGATGAGCAAGAGTAGGAGTGGTGCAGAAGGATGTTGTAAGCTTCTTGAAGGTGTTGGTGGCTTCACTGGTCCAGCACAGAGACTTGGCCCCTTTACGCAAGATCAGACTGAAACCTTTGATGAATCGATGGTAGAAATTTGTAAAGCCCAGGAATCGCTGAAGTTCTTTGATGGTAGTTGGTAATGGTCAGTTGGAAACTGCTTCCACCTTCCTCTGGTCCATGGTAATCCCTTGTGGAGTGATCACATAACCCAGAAACTGAATGGATTCTTGGTGGAACTCACATTTTTCCAATTTCAGGAAAAGTTGATGTTCACGAAGACGTTGCAATACTACTTTGACATGTTGATGGTGCTCAGGTAGGCTGGAAGAATATATCAGGATGTCATCAATATAGACAATGACAAAACGATGAAGAAGATCTCTGAAGATTTCGTTCATGAAACCCTGGAAGACGGCGGGAACGTTGGACAGCCTGAAAGGCATAACAGTTGTACTCATAATGGCCTGCTGGGGTGATGAACGCCGTCTTCCGTTCATCACCCTTTCGTATCCTGATCAGATTATGCGCACTCCGTAAGTCCAGTTTGGAGAAAACCTGAGCACCGCGTAACTGTTCCAAAGCTGATGGGACCAGAAGAAGGGGATACCGGTATTTGATTGCAGATTCGTTGAGTGTCTGGTAATCAATACAGGGGCGCAAGCCTCCGTCCTTCTTACCGACAAAGAAGAAACTGGAAGCGGCAGGGGAGGTGGAAGGTCGGATGTAGTCTTGACGTAGAGCCTCCTTGATATACTCCTCCATGGCCTTCTGGTCGATCGCACAGTCCCATGGCCGATGATGTCGGAGTTTCGTCACCAGTTGTTTGACAAACACATCCTGGAACGCCCGTTATTGAGGTGGGATCTCAGGTTGGATGTCGGTTGCTTTTATTTTTTAAAATTTAAACAATAAATACTGTTTTGTGTTTTTCTGGCTTAATTACATTTTCTGTTAACACGACCTCTGGGTTCAATTTGTAATTAACCCATCTGGCATCCCTTTATTTGGTGCATGTTTGGAGGGGCTCCTGAAATTACAGTCTCACTCAAGGAAACCCTCAGAAACCACAAGACTTTTACAACCCATGACCCAATCTCAGTCTACCTGGATTGTTAATTACAGTATGTTTTGGTTTCATACATGCAAACTCTTAGTAAATCTGGCCCGTGTCTCTGGCAGTGGACTTGAGTTCAGAGATAATGCCATCATTGAGATGAGAAATTACTGACCTGGCTTTTCTTTTTGCAGTCTTTGTTACCCTGATGAGGTTGGCAGCGTGTGTGTTGAGCCTCAGAATATCCACAAGGCTTCATAAAGCCAGGGTTTTTGAAAGGGCTGCCATTAAAAAAACAGTTGTGTCCAAGACTAGAACACAAAAATACACCATGAATGCAGTCTGGATCCCTGAGATGGGGAACTTAAAATATAACATGGTCTGATGAGTTACAGTATTATTCTCATTTCCTGTAACCAGACTGGTTTACTGGTTTAGAGAAAGCCATCTTAACATTCTGCTAGCTTCATGGCCAACACAAGGTTTTAAACTCTTAAAAATAGTAGTACATCATATTTTTGACACCAATGATTACTGTAAGGTCTGTGGAGGGTGTAATTCTACTGTTTCTATTCAGTGTCCTTTGTTCTAGTTCCTGCCAGTCTTCTGTTGTCATGGTATATGATTTTGTTATTCTGCTGTGTGTTGTTAATATACCTAGTCTGAGTATTTATCTACCTATGTTTTCAGTTCTCATTGTCGGGTGTCTTTAAAGCTTATGTTGAGTTTGGTGATGCATTTGTCTATTAAAGTCCCCCTGTAGTCAATCCTTGTATCCCTTAAAACTCATCTTTGATCACCAAAATGACATATTTAAACTCTTTTGCCTTAAAATATCTTGAATGTAACTCGACACCCTTGCCTCATTTAGTATACGTGATTGATTCTATGAATATGCGAATGAGCCCCGACTCCAGTCACTGGGTTCCACCACAGGGGGACTTTAAAAACGTATTGTTTTACCTTCATCTTCGTCATCGTATTGCTGTTTGACACCACGCTTTGCTTCAATGTGACATTTGCATTCATTCACACATTTCATTTTTGTATTCGTCTTTAAAGTTTCCGAAGCCTTTCATCTGTTGGATTACAGGAAGACATACGGAGGCTAAAAACATTTGAGCAGATTTACACCATGGAGCTCAAGATGAGTAAATCGACTCTCACTGCTGTCTTTATCGGTAAGTGTTTTTTTAATGATTTTTTTTAATATATATATATTAAAATAGTAGTACATCATATTTTTGACACCAATGATATACCAATATGACACCAATATATATATATATATATATATATATATATATATATATATATATACATTATATTTGTTTTTTATATATATATATATATATATAATTGTACTTCTTAAAACAGGTATATTTACTTAAAGGTGTTATTACATGAGTTTACAGCTCTGTAACCCTATTGTAATTGTTCAATTTTCCAAGGATCAGCATTCTCCCCTAAAAGTGAGCGTGCAGACCAAACCGTTTATCATAGACACTGGAAACTTTGAGGGCTAGTAGTACTCACACCGCCTACAACGTCACCAATGCTCGCCCCAATCGGCCTGACGGGGGCGCTACAGCGGTTAAAAGTACAAAATGGCTCATAACTCCTAAACCGTTTGGCGAAATTTTGGGGTATTTTGGATGGGGTTTTTTTTGTTAGTTTTTTTTTTTTTAACTTTTTCGAGATCTAGGTTTTTGACCCAATTCGAACCAAACCAGTGCAGCAAGATTCTCTGGAGTCTGATTTTCAATAGCTCTCAATAAATCTACCCCCTAAGGGCCACTTTTACTGAAATGTCTATAACTTGTGAATGGAATGAGATATTTTCACCAAACTCAGCACATCTTTGTAAAGGACATGGCACAATTCTCAGGACTCTCTAGGTGGTCCTGACAGAAATGATCAAAGTTGAATTTTTAGCATCAATTCTGTGGTCTCCTCTTTTTATTGCCACTGATTTTAATGTTAAATATAAATCTTACACAGGCTTTATAAGTGTTTATATACTTTTATAAACAGTAAATATAAAGAAAAGAATTCCTTTTAGAGTCTCTTGATGTCTTTTTTTATTTCTACGCTGCTATAAGTGGTTTCACATGTTTGTGTTACGTCCACAAGACAACACACTCGCTGAATTTACAGCCCGTTTAACGTCAAAGAGGTGGAAAAAACGAGAATTAGGGAAAACCCTCATGCTCTAAGTTCTGAAGTTACGCCAGGAAAAGTCTTATTTTGGTCTTATTTGATTTCAGAGAATGTAATAACTTGGATAATGTTGTGTCATAATTTGCTTTTGCATTATGTTCTGTATATCCTAGCATTTCTGCTGACTTCCAGTGGAGCAAAGCCAAATGGAAAGAACAAAAAGCATAAACAAGGTAGTTTAAATGGGTGCAACCTTTCAAAATGTACTCCTTTTTACCCTATTTACACTCAAATGGTGCACATTAGCAACTCAAAGGCACACCTTAGTACCTAAATGGTAGTAGCTATTGAGAGGATGACAGTGACAACTTTTGATTTCTATGCTAATAGTAATTTGTTTGCCACGTTCTTCTGACATTGATTCTGCTTTTCCAGTCGTTCCAGCAATTGAGTGTGAGATGCGGTCTGGGAAGATCAATCTCCCAGAGTTTATCGTGAAGTGTCCGGCTAACTGCAGGGAGAGCAAGGAGAAGGTCTACGGGACGGGTGTGTTTGCCTCAATATCCAGTATCTGCAATGCTGCTATTCACAGGTGAGCTATCCAGCTTGTGTTTCATGAGACTGGATGTTAAAGTTTGATCAGTATTAGGGTAAAAGACATTACTATGCGAAAGCTTGGGCTGCCCTGACCAAATTACAAGTTTCTAATCTAATCAAAAAGAAGCTAACACAAGCACAGGCAAACTAAAAAATACATACTATCAGTCTGTTCTTTGCTGAGAAAGAAGTTTTCAATGCTATTTTATTAATAAAAGTTCTTCGAAGGAGTCCTATGGTGTTGTTTCCCATGTTCATCTCTCTTTAGTGTGTGATGTTGCTGTTTGATCATGAGAAGCTCCAGTTCTCCTCTATATCAGTGTCAGTGTTTCTGAACTCCTGAAACGCCTCCAGTGTAGTCTTGAGTTTCTCCCAGGAACGAACACGTCACAATATTCCTCATTATAATAATTCATGCGCATAATAAAGGGGCGGGGCCTGGTTGAGTTAGTCAGTAGTGTCTTAAACTGGCGGTTATGGTAAGGGGCGGGGCTTTCCTAACACACTCGAAGAGCTTAACCAATCACAGCGCACTGCTCCAGCCGACCAATCCGAGAGGAGCCGCAACAATGGAGAATATGAGGAGAATAATCAACATTTGAGCATGGACACTTAGTAGATCCCAAAAACAACATCAAGACATTGTACAAGGGCATAATATTACGTCATTTATGTTTTACCCCACATGATAGCAGACACTTGCTGCAGTTCTTGTTGTCCTTGGTAGTTATAGTGGTGTGAGGGACACCTTTAACCTTTTTATAGCATTCCTCACCTGCCTGAACCCTGTGTTTGAGCTCGAGAAGGGAGAAGATGTCTTTAGAGATCGCTTAAGGCCTTGTTTCGTGAGCATCTGATCCTCAGCCGCCTGTTCAGAGGAGCTCCTGAGAGCACATGCATTTATATTATGGCCTCAGTGGTCAAGTTCTGTGAAGGTTGATGAAGAGCAGGATCACACAGGTGGATCAGGTTGCACAAACATGCTGTTTCTGATGGCTTGCTGTGGTGTATGGGTTAGTGCACATGTGGGCTCATTCCCCGCTCTCTCCTTGATCTCTACACCACATGCATTGAGTTTGGATTATCTCCAGAAGTCATCAAACCCTCTCTTTGCCATTGGATCTCAGTCAAACTTAAGTTGCAAGCTCTCAATTGAATTGCTTATCTAATTAAATGCATTTGCATAGCATTCTATAATTAGCTGGAAATGATGAAAAAAATATTTGCTGAAAGCTACCAACTTTACTAGCTCTCACGTGCAGTGTGTTTTGCTGTTTGCGGTTCTCAGTGGAGTCATCAGTAACTCTGGAGGAAAGGTAATAGTGACGAAGAGTGCCGGACAGCCCATCTACAAGGGCAGCTTTGCCAACGGCATCCGATCCCTGTCCTTACCCAACTGGAGGGAATCCTTCTCTGTCTCGGGTAGGCTTTACTTTTGAGCAAACACTCCTACTGTACATGTAGGCTCGCTATAGCAATCAAATGAGAAACATGGAAAGACACTCTAATTTCATAAGAAACTTGCTTTCTCACATTGTTTAACTTGTTGGATGTATTTGTGTCAGTGGGTAAACCAAAGAAGGGAGTGATGTATCCATCCACTCTGACCTTTGTACACTCAAGACCCACCATAGTGAAAACAAGTAAGTGTTTCAGCCAGATAGTAATGCTAGTTTGACATATTTTTGTCTTTAAGCCTTTAGCTCAATCAATAATGCATGGCGCCAACAAGGCCAAGATCAGAGGATTGCTAAACTCGCAGCAGTAGCAGCTCATCATCCATTCATGTTTCCTAAGGTGAATCCAAAGACCTGCCGTACTTCCCAGTGTCACCAGTGACTGAGGCTCCAGAGGCGGAGCCAAGCTCCACCACAGCCCCGCCCACAACCACTCCTGTGACCACGCCCACCTCCACAACTCCGCCCACAACCACATCAGCCAAGCCACGGGCCACCGTTCATAAAATCCGCGAGGCGGGTGAGCCAATCTGTTTAAGCCTTGAATGAGTCATGGTGCCTTATAGTAAAATCAGTCCTATGCTTTTATCCATTTGTTCTTGGGTCAGTGTTTCAGTACCCCATTGAAATGAAGATCCTGACTGGACAATATGGATCAGGTTCCCTCTCAATCCGTTCTTTTTCCTCTCTCTGTTTCTAAAGCAAATCTTTCTTTCTGATCTAGGCAGCAGTCACCCGTATTTCAGCGCTGTTGCACGTAAGTCAAACGTCGAAGCCTCCCTCATGTGGGCCTTGTGTTCTCGCAGCTTTCTGCTGTCGGATCTTTTTTATTCAGAGATCTCGGGGTGTTTTTGTGGGTCTTCACAGAGCTTATGGTCTCTTGCAGTTTTCCTTTAGTTCTTGTTATCGTCGTAACCGTCTTGACGTTTGGGGTGTAGATGGTGTTGGCCTGTGAAATCCCTTTTCTTTAATGTAATCCACTGTAAAGTACGCATGAAACAGCATTTCATTTCCACAACATGAAGAGTGACATTATAGGAGTATAAGATATTAAATTAGAAGGAAATTGTAAGGTGGAGTTTAATTTTATCCACTGATTGACAAATTGTAGTTATTACTTTTAAAAATAATGTTACAATATTCCATTGCTCCCTAAAAATGTACTAATTACATAACTTTTAATGTAAAGTAATTTAAAGAAAATGTGCATTTTATGTAAAGTAATGCATCACGTTACTTTTGCGTTTCATTTTCTCATTATATTAAAAAAAATTATGTAATACACATTACTTTACTAGTTGCATTAAAAAGTAGTCTGATTACATAATGCATATTGTAAAGCATTACTTGTTATATCAAAAAGTAATCTGATTACATAATAAACGTTATGTCTAATGCATTACTTTACTTGTTATATCAAAAAGTAATCTGATTACATAATGCACGTTACTTCTAATGCATTACTTGTTATATCAAAAATTAATCTGATTACATAATACATGTTACTTCTAATGCATTACTTGTTATATCAAAAATTAATCTGATTACATAATACATGGTACTTCTAATATCAAAAAGTAATCTGATTACATAATACATGTTACTTCTAATGCATTACTTTACTTGTTATATCAAAAATTAATCTGATTACATAATACATGGTACTTCTAATATCAAAAAGTAATCTGATTACATAATACATGGTACTTCTAATATCAAAAAGTAATCTGATTACATAATACACGTTACTTCTAATGCATTACTTTCCTTGTTATATCAAAAAGTAATATGATTACATGAAGTACATTACTTGTAATGCGTTACTCCAACACTGGATTGAGCACCAGTTGTGTCAAAGGCAAAGTGTATTAATACTAACATTTTGATAAAGGATAAAGATCTTTTCTCTTTAGAATAATATGCACTGATGAATCATGTACAGTAAGACCAGGATTTTGCTGGACTTTAAGCTGAAACAGAAACACAATATACTGTATCTACTGCTTCAATATCTATGTTCTCTCTAAATGCGGCATGTAGGACAATCACACACCCAAGGAAAGGGTCCCGCGCAAGGTACGTCCTACTGTATGTGTCCACTGTATTCTTCCTGTCAGTAACACAAGCTCTCAACTCTAACCATAACATTTGTCTAAAGCATTTAGAGGCAGCTCCGTCTATGCCAATAGGTTTTTACCACGCACCAACACAGGTAAACCACACTCCTATTACTCTGTCTGTGTCCCTTTATTGTGATGTTTGACTGTTGTGCTTCCTTGTCCTCTAATACGTTCTTGGAGTAAATGAAGAGTTCAGATGCAAAAGCCTCTAAATGCCATTTGAAATTTTCTTCTTTAATGATGATTTTTATCAAGCTTGTATATTTAAGTTCATTAATTTCACTTAAATTGCAATGATAGTTACCTATTAATTGTTATTTAAGTGAAATTACTGAACTTAAATATATAAGTTTGATAAAAATCATCATTAAAGAAGAAAATTTCAAATGGCATTTAGAGGCTTTTGCATCTGAACTCTTCAAATAGCTTTATTGAGTTGTACTGCTGATTGTCTGTGTCCATTCTTGCAGTTTTCGCTATTGTACATCTATGTCTCTTTATTTCAAATGTGAATGTGTTTTAAAATCTGTTGTACGTGTCACTTCCTGCTGCCAGTTGGTGGCGCTATTACTGTGAACAACAATAGCAACATGTATGTGATCAGCCAGTTTAATCTAAATCAGAAAATGCACTAGTATATGAGACTCTTCCGGTTTCTCTCTGTTGGCATAAATTCCCTTTCCTCGTGTTAGATCATTTATCAAAAATCCATTCGCAGTTGAGCATCTTTAATGTCTCGGCATCATCTTTACCAATTTCGGTGAGAATTGTACTAATCTCCTTGGAGGAGTTTTTAAAAAAATCTAATTCTTCATTTTTTCTAAAGATCCTCATTTAAATCCAAGATGGCTGACTTCCTGTTGGTTGGAGCTAATGAAAAATGATGTCAAAAATCTATTCAAACATGTTATCTCAGTTTATTCGCTATAGTTTAGAAAATGGGGATAAAATATGAGCAGAACTCAGAGTTCTCAGATCAGTGGATATCTGACTGGTTTTGTTGGACTCTCACACATGAATTATGTTGAATATCTGTCAGCTGTTACATTGATCTACACAAAAATACCAGTTTAGCTCAACCAGTGAGCAAGCAATGCTTCATGTTGTTCAGTGTGTGTGTAAAAAGAGCAATAAACACACTTCAGCTCACAGTGGAGGAATCAGTTTCGCTCCCAGTCAGATGTGTGTAAATGACTGTAGTCACAGTCTTGTGTTGAACATGTGTGTGTTGCGTCGGCAGGTGTGCACCGGCCGGAGATGAGCTCCACCATCCGGAGACAGCCGCACGTTCCCTCAGCTCCAGGTTTGCACGACGCTTTCACTCATTGGCCGTCATCACTCATTCGCAGGCATGAACTCTTGCTTTCTTCTCTCTCGGGTACTGTTCGTCTGTGTCACGTTGATAAGCAGCTTTGAGTCGGGTGCAGCCGCAGTCTGAGAGAAAGCAGCACACGCCGCAGTCCAATCCCAGTAAGTGTGTGCAGATGCCATCTATCAGCGTGTGTGTGTGTCTTTCAGTGTGTGACAGGCAATTCAAGAAGTCCAGTGCTCTTTCTTGCATCTCGAGGGATCAGGTAACGCACATTATACATTAGTCAGGCTCTCCAATAAACTAATCATACACGCCAGTAAAGAAATATTGAGCTTTCAACTTCACCAGTGTCATTGATGTCATCTAAGTTAAAGACCAGTAATAAACTTTCACTGATTCCTGAGACTTATCTCTGGCACAAAATATCTGATGGTTTTATTCTGCAGATCAATAAACAGGATGTTATTTAACTTGATTTTTACACGCAATATTGCCACTAACAATAAGTCAAACCAATCGAGTTGTAATGTTTGTAAATGAGTTTGTTATGAGTTTTTCCAACAAAAAAAAACTTCATGCATTAAAATATCTTGAATGTAACTCGACACCCTCGCCTCATTTAGTATTCGCGTCTCTTTGAATATGCAAATGAGCCTTGCCTCCACTCACTCACTCAGAGATCCACTGGTTGACGATCACACGTTGATCTGATTGGTTACAAGGTGGTTTGTGACGTCAGAAACACCAAAGCGTGTTTTTGAGACTGTCTTTGGTTCACTGCAGTTTTAAGGGGGAAATACTCCGCAATGCTGTCCACTTATCAACGCACACACGGTGTGTGTTAAAGCGGATTAAACACACCACATACACACATAAACAACATTAAACACTGGATTTACACCACAGTGGGACTTTAACATTAAATAATAAATAATGTGTTTTTGAGCAAAGCGGTTGAGTGAATAATTCAATGACTTGTGTTGAAAGAGTCACAGTAATGGAATTAATATTTCCATTCTTCATAAACTTTAGCTTGTTTTGTCTTATGTCTCGAGAGAATCAGTTCAAGTCCATGTTATGTCTTGATATGTTGGTCATGTATTGTAAGCAGTTTCTAAATCTCCCCGTCTAGCGTTGGTACGCCGTGATTGGACGCACCCTGCGTACGCACGCCCTGATTGGTTCTCTGGCACCAGACGGCCAACAGGTATCAGAATCATTATGCTGGTCCATCCAGTTCAATAACATAACCCTCCAAAAGCAAACATTAAAGACGACATAAACGAAGGCTTTTAAATTCCGAGTGAATATCCATAAACTCATAATAATTCATGCTAATCCTCACTCCATCATGACATGAGGCCCAACCATGGCTTTCTGTGTTCAGATCATAGCCCCTCAGTGCCGAACACAGGCCATCACTGGAGCAGGACGACCCCTGCCGACCCCGCAGGTAAGGCCTTCGTGTCCATATACTGTAAATCCACTGCAGTTCCACAGGAGGATAACGAACAAACACATAAATCTGCATTATGGCCTCATAGTGTGCGCCGCACATGCCTGCTCACGCACCGCAGCATCATATCAGTGTTCCTACAGGATCTGCTACTGATTTATACACTTCCTTCATGTGGTTTGAATAGATCATGACATAAGCTTTCAAGAACGTTTAATAAATCCATCCCAATGTGCGGCCCATATGATATCATAAACATTCAGAGCGTGTGTTTCTGCCACATGACTTTATCTTTATCCTCCATGTCAGGAACATGCTCTTCATGTGCTTTTCAGCTTTTGAGTGTGTGGCTTGTTTTGCTAACACATTGACACAGGTATTATGGGTATGTTTTCTAACTAACCCCTCGTACACACACTGCCTCTGTCCTGCAGCGCTCGACCCGGCCTACCCCGAGCACCAGCACCCATATCACTTTGGACTCTTCTGTAAGTATTCTCCTTAGGGCTGTCAAATGATTAATCGCGATTAATCGCATCCAAAGTAAAAGTTTGTGTTTACATAATATATGTGGGTGCACTGTGTATAATTATTTAATATGTAAAAATACACACACATGCATGTATATTTAAGAAAAAAATATTATTTATATATAAAATATTGATATTTATATATAATATAAATATATATAAATCTATATACATGAAAATATTTCTTAAATATATACAAGCATGTGTGTGTATTTATATATTTAAAATAATTATACACAGTGCACCCACATATATTATCTAAACACAAACTTTTATTTTGGATGCGATTAATCGCGATTAATCATTTGACAGCCCTAATTCTCCTATTTTATTTTGGAGTAATGCAAAGTACAGGTGAAACTTGAAACATTAGAATATCGTGCAAAAGTTCATTTCTTTCAGTAATTCAACTAAAAAGGTGAAACTAATGTATTATATTGACCCATTACATGCAAAGTGAGATATTTCAAGCCTTTATTCGTTATGATTTTGATGATTATATCATCACAATTATAACAAATAAAGGCTTGAAATGTCTCACTTTGCATGTAATGTGTGAGTCTGGATTCATGAGAAGAAGTGTATGGGCCTGGGCTTTACTGTATGTGTAAGGCTCGTGGCTGATCTGGAGTCTGTTACTGGTGTTGCTGTAGTGGCTCACTGTGTGTGTGTGTGAAACTGGAGACTCATGTGTAGATGATTTGTGTTTCCAGCTCCTGAGCCAGAAGACCACAAGCCTCCGCCTGAGACGGGCCACAGCAGAGGTGTGTCACAAACACAAGCACTTTTATATACAAAAGCCCACAGTTCACTCACAATGCACACTATAGCCCAGTGTCTGCTTAAAGTGCACCTATTATGCTATTTTAACGTTCCTAATGTTATTTTGGAAATCTACGATACGTTTACATGAATCCAAGGTCAAAAAAACACACTAATGTCCTCGTGATCTCCACTGCAGCTTCAGCTCTTTCCTCTCAGTGTCTGAAACGCTTTGTTTGGAGATTCAGTCTTTCTAAGCCCTAATGCTCTGCTCTGATTGGTCAGAAAGCAAACGCTCATTATTATATCTGAATCTCAGCTCTTGATCACAGTGATACGAACAGTGACGATGGCGAGGGTTTCACCGTATCGATCTCAGAAAGCAGCATCTTCTCGACACGAGCCGAACTCCTCAGTCTCAGATACACTACAGTGTTTGAGGGCGGGGCTAAGAGACGCTGATCAGCCAATCGACACCAGAGGCTGAATTACTGACGACCCGAGACAAAAATCTGTTTACATTTATCTACAACTTTAATCTCTGAAGCGTTTACACTCACAAACATCTCTGTTACACACTCCAGGGAGGGAATATCATAATGGGGCACTTTAAGAAACTGTGATTGGATATTGGATGATTGGAAAGATTGTGTGATTAATCATTAATTAGTGTGTATTCCTGTCCCAGAGGCGCTGGTGGAGTCAAACCCATTCGACTCAGGTGAGGAAACTATCCACTCACTGAAGAGTTTATAAAAGCCTTTAAAGCAACACAAGCTCACTGGAAAAACTTGCCTATCCTTACACTTCACTGCACTTTCCAGCTGAAATCAACCCTAAATACAGCAAAACACCAACAAATTCAAAAAAAGATTATGATTACAGGGAAATATTACTGATTAATATAAACTTATTTTCATGCAGTTCCTTCCACAATACTTTGTTATAGTGTGTGATTTGTTAACGAATACATTGTGATGTTTGAATCCCATAAATAGCTGCATTTGTGTGGGTTATTCATCTAAGTGAGCTTGCTGTATCTCGGCTGGTCCAGCGCTCAGAGAAGCCTTCAGCAAGTGTGTGTTTCTCTCGGCTCTGTTTCGGTACACACATCGGTTGTAGGTGCAGTGTTATTCCCAAGTGTGACAGCGCATTCATCTTTTAACGCTGTATTTCCGAACAATCACCGTATATAAAGTTACAACATTCACAATCATCTGTTTGCGGGAATATTAAAGACTCTTTTGGACACTTCACTTTAAAAGTGCACTTTAAAAACTTCATTTTGCAGAAATGTTTTTGCGATGAGTGTGTTGCTTTATTACATGTTTTGCATTGAAGAGTTAAGTAACTTGATCGGCAGTTTCCAGTACCAGCTTCTAGTGGCCTTTCTCCTCAGGAATGTAGGCAAACTATTGATTTTAAATTTGGACTTGATAATATGGTCACACACTTGGTTCTTCACAGTACTATGGGTAAGGTACAGGGTTGATGTGTAACAGCAGCATCCTCTGATTTCCCAGGATTCTCCGCTCGAGGACACGAGTCATCAGCCAGAGCTCCTGACCTCAGCGGCCGGACTCGCGGAGACCCAAGTACAGTCCTCGACCCGACACTGATGATAACACACTGATCGCTTCCTTTCATGGCTCTCATTCGATTCCCATCCGTGTCTGCAGGTTGTAAAGTGGATATTGCGTTCCTCATGGATGGCAGCTGGAGTATTGGGAAACGGCGATTCAAGATTCAGAAAGACTTTCTCGTGGAGGTTTCCCAGGCTCTCAATGTGGGCGTGGACGGAGCCATGATGGGCATCATCCAATATGGGTAATAATCATCCAATACGGTAATAATCATACAATACGGGTAATAATCATCCAATACGGGTAATAATCATCCAATACGGGTAATAATCATCCAATACGGGTAATAATCATCCAATACGGGTAATAATCATCCAATACGGGTAATAATCATCCAATACGGTAATAATCATACAATACGGTAATAATCATCCAATACGGGTAATAATCATCCAATACGGGTAATAATCATCCAATACGGGTAATAATCATCCAATACGGGTAATAATCATCCAATACGGGTAATAATCATCCAATACGGTAATAATCATCCAAAACAGGTAATAATCATCCAATACGGTAATAATCATCCAATACAGGTAATAATCATCCAATACGGTAATAATCATCCAATACGGTAATAATCATCCAAACAGGTAATAATCATCCAATACGGTAATAATCATCCAATACGGTAATAATCATCCAATACAGGTAATAATCATCCAATACGGTAATAATCATCCAATACGGTAATAATCATCCAATACGGGTAATAATCATCCAATACGGTAATAATCATCCAATACGGTTAATAATACGGGTAACAATCATCCAATACGGGTAACAATCATCCAATACGGGTAACAATCATCCAATACGGGTAACAATCATCCAATACGGGTAACAATCATCCAATACGGGTAACAATCATCCAATACGGGTAATAATGTGTCCAATACGGGTAATAATCATATAACCATCTAATACGGTAATAATCATCCAATACGGATAATAATCATATAATAATCCAATACGGGTAATAATGTGTCCAATACGGGTAAAAATCATCCAATACGGGTAAAAATCATCCAATACGGGTAATAATCATCCAAGACGGGTAATAATCATCCAATACGGGTATTAATCATATAATCGTCCAATACGGGTAATAATGTGTCCAATACGGGTAATAATCATCCAATACAGCTAATAATCATCCAATACGGGTAATAATCATCCAATACGGGTAATAATCATCCAATATGGGTAACAATCATCCAATACGGGGAATAATCATATAATCATCCAATACGGGTAATAATGTGTCCAATACGGGTTATAATCATCCAATACGGGTAATAATGTGTCCCTGTACCAGAAAACAAACAGATGCTGAATGATTGTTAATGAGAAGAGTGAGGGACTGGTATTTAACCTAAAGCTAACATGAGCCCGTTACTATTCGCAAAATTACCAATAGAATGTGGTTTTAGCATAAATTAATTTCCCCTCAGAATCTGAATAAGAACAAGCTTTACTGCCATTTCTGTTCACACACACAAGGCATTTTCTTGGTAATGAAGCTTCCAGTTGTCACGAGCTGCTCCGACACAAGCAGGTTGAGGATCCAAACGCAGTATTTACTGAACAGATCCAAAGACATAATCCAAAGCACAGGCGAGGTCAAACACAGGCAGTCGTCCACGCAAACACAACACGGCAGGGAACACGGGAGAAAGAGCAATCCACAGGCAAACCAAGAGACGTGAAACCAAGGAGAATGCTGGGAATTGCAGTGTAACACTAAACAAGACTTTGCAGGGAATGCATGTGAAACGCCGGCTATTATAGTGTGAGTTGAAGAAGATAACGAGACACAGATGACTGTGGTAATGGACGAAGAGTCCGGGCGGTGTGTTATGGGAGATGTAGTTTGTGAGGGAATGACAGTAGTGTGATGTGCACACATAAACACAACACGACAAATAATACGATTAAAGAATACAAATATGGCTGTCTTAAGACACGGTTAGGTTAATCCGAATAGACTGTAATATTTACAGATTATTAACATATTACACACTTGTTTAGATAAAAGATCCACTACTGTTAGATACTGTAAGATTTTTTTTGTTTTTTCTCGTACAGTATAATCACCAAGGATGTATTTATTTGATAAAATACAGAATACAAAAATACAGTAAAGCAGTGTAATATTACTCCAGTGTGAATCATCTGTTCTCTATGTGAATATACAGTAAAGTGTCATTTATTCCTGTGATCATTACTCCAGTCTTCAGTGTCACATGACCCTTCACACATCACTCTAATATGAGGATCTGATGATCAAGAAGCACTTATGATTATTATCAGTCGTGCTGCTTCATATTTCGGTGGAAACCGTCAAACATTTTATTTTTCAGGATTCTTTTAATGAATAGAAAAATCAAACAAACCACATTTATTTGAAGTAAATTTTTTTTTGCAACATTATAAATGTCTTGACTGTAACTTCAATATGAATCTCTCTTGTTTTAAACCTTACTGATCCCAAAAGCTTGATTTGTTTTGAGTATAACGTGTCCTTTATTGAAGTCATCGGCTCGTGGAGTTTCAGTTCTGACCAGTAATCAGGAGATTTGCAGATTTGTACATCTCTAAATGAACTTACATGATGTCAAACACAATTGTACCAAAATATAACTGGCATGATGAATCATAAGCGTTTGATTTATGACCCAGGGATGATGCGGTCACAGAATTCAGCCTGAAACAGTACTCCAGCTCCAGCGACGTGAAGCCGGCCATCAGCAAGATCAACCAGAAGGGCGGCCTGTCACATGTAGGTGAGTGTGTGTGTATCCGAGATAACAGGGGGTTCACAACACACTTCCAAATAAGATCTAAATGTGAGCTGTGAAATTACAGGGCTGGTGCCACTCTGGTGTTTCTGACCAAATGCCTGAGGTTTATCCAACCTAGAGATTTGGTTGTATGGTTTGTGTTATAGATAGTGTCTCACTTTAATAAAACAGCAGCTGCCTGTAAAGTCAAAGATAGCCGAGGACACGGCATCATCTGCTTCGAGGAATCTGGGTGGATGAGGTTTAATCATCTTCTCTATATGATTGACTCAAACACGCTGGTTTGGACTCTGAAACCCCCGAGGACTGCAGTGACCACCAAACTCTCGGGACACTAAAAGCACACACTCAATGTGTCGTATATCGAGTGAAACGCTACTGGAATGAGAACACATGTGGGCGGGGCTTGATTGTGGTTGTGGTTTGCTATTGGCTGATCTCATGTGAGTGACAGGTTATAGCCCCGCCCACATCATCAGAGAAGAGATGCTACAAGAGGAACTGATTCTGATTGAAGATTACCAGGGACATGAATTTAATACGCAGATAAATCATTTAGCATAAACACTGCAATATTCAATAACAAACAGGAATTGTCCATTTTGGTTTCATGGGGACTTTAATGTTTAGCCTTCAGAGTCCACTGAGGGCAGCATTTCTAAAAACATTTAATTAAATCATCCAAGTTTGAATATTCAATTAAAGTTAGTGGAATAAAGTTTGAGTAACTGCTGCATTGATAGAGTTGTGCTGAGTCCCGGAGCGCCTGGGGCCGAGGCTGGGGGCGAACAGAGCTCGATTGAGACGCACAACTGTACATGTGTTGTGCTGACTCTGGCTCTGTGCTCTTTAAGGGAAGGCCCTCTCCTACATCAACAAGCACTTCTTCAGCGACGCCAATGGGAACCGGGGCGGGGCGCCCAACGTGGCGGTGGTGCTGGTGGACGGCTGGCCCACGGACCGGGTGGAGGAGGCGTCGCGGCTCGCCCGAGAGTCCGGCATCAACATCTTCTTCGTCACCATCGAGGGCCCAGATGACAATGAGAAACAGAACGTGGTGGAGCCCAACTTTGTTGACAAGGTATTAAAATGGGGGAGGGGGGGGGGTGCCGTGAGAAACGAGAAACGTTATCCCTCTGGTGTGTCGTTAGGGTTAGGGCTAGTATCGTGTTGTTCAAGGTCACAACAGACCAGAATTAATGTACTATATTTCATTTCACTGTTTTTTCTTTAACATTTTGTTTTTTAAGGGGATTTTAATTTACTAAACAATACAAAATTCTAAGTTATGTAACAAAACAATTTATAAAATATAAGAAAAAACTCTGATGATTTTTTTTAATTAATGCAGTATTTAAGGTTGAAATGGGGCAAAATCTGTTGAATGGAGGCAGATTAGTATCATGGCTTATTTCTGGCACCCGCCTCTGCACAGAATAAAACAATATAAAGATAATTGCAACTTTTTATCTCGCAAGTGAGTTTATAACTCGCAATTAAGAATTTATATTTTACAGTTCTGAGAAAAAAAATCGAAATTGTGACAAAACTGCTCTTCATTTTTACTCATAAAAGTGCATCTATCCACTTTCTATGCACTTAAATGATGGCTATATTACACTTTTATGATGGACAGATGCACTTTTGTGATGGACAGATGCACTTTTATGATGATAGATGCACTTTTATGATGCACAGATGCACTTTCATGATGGATAGATGCACTTTTGATGCACTTTTATGATGGACAGATGCACTTTTATGATGGAGAGATGCACTTTTATGATGGACAGATGCACTTTCATGATGGATAGATGCACTTTTATGATGGACAGATGCACTTTTATGATGGATAGATGCACTTTTATGATGGACAGATGCACTTTTATGATGGATAGATGCACTTTTATGATGGACAGATGCACTTTTATGATGGATAGATGCACTTTTATGATGGAGAGATGCACTTTTATGATGGACAGATGCACTTTAATGATGGATAGATGCACTTTTATGATGGATAGATGCACTTTTATGATGGACAGATGCACTTTTATGATGGAGAGATGCACTTTTATGATGGATAGATGCACTTTTATGATGGATAGATGCACTTTTATGATGGAGAGATGCACTTTTATGATGGATAGATGCACTTTTATGATGGACAGATGCACTTTTATGATGGAGAGATGCACTTTTATGATGGACAGATGCACTTTTATGATGGATAGATGCACTTTTATGATGGACAGATGCACTTTTATGATGGAGAGATGCACTTTTATGATGGACAGATGCACTTTCATGATGGATAGATGCACTTTTATGATGGACAGATGCACTTTTATGATGGAGAGATGCACTTTTATGATGGACAGATGCACTTTCATGATGGATAGATGCACTTTTATGATGGATAGATGCACTTTTATGATGGATAGATGCACTTTTATGATGGAGAGATGCACTTTTATGATGGAGAGATGCACTTTTATGATGGACAGATGCACTTTCATGATGGATAGATGCACTTTTATGATGGACAGATGCACTTTTATGATGGAGAGATGCACTTTTATGATGGACAGATGCACTTTTATGATGGATAGATGCACTTTTATGATGGAGAGATGCACTTTTATGATGGATAGATGCACTTTTATGATGGACAGATGCACTTTTATGATGGAGAGATGCACTTTTATGATGGACAGATGCACTTTCATGATGGATAGATGCACTTTTATGATGGATAGATGCACTTTTATGATGGATAGATGCACTTTTATGATGGTCAGATGCACTTTTATGATGGATAGATGCACTTTTATGATGGATAGATGCACTTTTATGATGGACAGATGCACTTTTATGATGGACAGATGCACTTTTATGATGATAGATGCACTTTTATGATGGACAGATGCACTTTTATGATGGATAGATGCACTTTTATGATGGATAGATGCACTTTTATGATGGTCAGATGCACTTTTATGATGGATAGATGCACTTTTATGATGGATATATGCACTTTTATGATGGACAGATGCACTTATATGATGATAGATGCACTTTTATGATGGACAGATGCACTTTTATGATGATAGATGCACTTTTATGATGGACAGATGCACTTTTATGATGATAGATGCACATTTATGATGGATAGATGCACTTTTATGATGGATAGATGCACTTTTATGATGGATAGATGCACTTTTATGATGGACAGATGCACTTATATGATGATAGATGCACTTTTATGATGGACAGATTATGATGGCTTGATGATGAGTAGAAAATGGGGTAATATTAATTTCGGGGTTAACTTTCTCTCTTGTTTTGTGTCGTAGGCTGTGTGCAGAACCAACGGCTTCTACTCGCTCCCGATCGCGAGCTGGTTCGCTCTGCGTAAAGCTGTTCAGCCTCTGGTGAAGCGTGTGTGTGACACCGACCGCCTGATGTGCAGCAAGACCTGTCTGAACGCCAACGACATCGCCTTCGTCATCGACGGCTCCAGCAGCGTGGGAACCGGGAACTTCCGCACCGTGCTCCAGTTCGTCGCCAACGTGACACGGGAGTTCGAGATCTCCGACACGGACACGCGCGTAGGAATCGTACAGTACACGTATGAGCAGAGGCTGGAGTTCGCTTTCGGACAGCACAACAACAAAGCCGACTTGCTGAACGCCATCAAGCGCATCAACTACTGGAGCGGAGGAACCAGTACGGGAGCCGCCATCACGTACGCCGCGGACCAGCTCTTCAGCAAATCCAAACCCAACAAGCGTAAGATCATGATCGTCATCACGGACGGACGCTCCTACGATGACGTGAGGGCCCCGGCGCTGGCGGTACATCGGAAAGGTGAGTGCGGCGAAACGCCTAGCGCGAGGTAGGACGGCGTAGGTTGACATTATCGAGTTTACAGACCAAAAAGGTGCAGAAAGGGATTTCTGATAAACGTTGTTGATTTCGAAATAACCAGAACAAACAAGCCCAGACCCAACTGGACCACACCCCTATCTTTCATAGCTCCGCCTCCACTTTCAGCTACTCGCTGCGTATCGAGAAGAAATAAAGCAACCTCGTGTCCGTTTTCAGGCCTTCAAGTTAACACCCGCAAACCCATCAGATGTGTGTGTATTTCAGCAGGGGTGTGTAACGCAGTCACTCCCACTAGACACATAATAAATATCTTACACAGTTCTCAATTGTAGTCATTTAAAAAGGCATCTCAAGTAATAAGGTGTAGTGTTGTCAAAAATATAGATTTTTCGATGCATTTTGATACTGGAAGAAACGTTTCAATACTCATTTTGCGCAGAGTACTACACCAGTGTCTCTTTCTCTCTCTCTTTGTCATCTCTTTGACAGCGAGTGACACACAACCCCGCCTCTCCTCACTCACTCCTTTCATATGCTCCAGATGAATATTGTTGGTGTCACAGGACTTGAATTTCGGCGTGGGATATCACATTTTACCCAGTCACACATATTTTCTGCTCACACCCATAGTTTGTGCACATAAAGCCACCTCTCAGTACTACATTTTGTTATTTTTTCTCAGCTTATTGTGCTTAAACTGTAAAATACACACAAAATCATGTCAAAATGCCAGTCATGGTGAGTATTCACTTAAGCACAGCCATTTCTGCTTTGTGAACGTAAACAGTTGAGAAAAGAAACGCATGTTTAACAGTATAATGGTTTCTTGCAAAAGAGTTAGTCAAGCCAAGTGACTGATTTTTGGGAATGTTGTACCAGGACCAGCCAAGGATGTAGATCTAGAGTCACATTAAACGTCATAATTCATAGGCTGTTGCTAAAATTTAGGCCCTGAATAATGGAAGTGCCCATTTCCGAGCATGTATTTGCGGTGTGATGTGATGTAAGTTGAAGTGTTTTCCTCTGCTGTCTCTCCCGCTCCAGGTGTGATCGCGTACTCCATCGGGATCGCCTGGGCAGCACAGGACGAGCTGGAATACATCGCCACTGACCCGGACAGAGAGCACTCTTTCTTTGTCGATGAGTTCGACAACCTCTACAAGTATGTATCAAAAATTATTCACAACATCTGCAACGAATTCAACTCCCAACCACGTAACTGAACCATTGAGGAATATCACCAGAAATCCAAGGAGCAAGTGCATTACCACACAGTTCCAGTACCAGTGTTACTGGCTTAGTGCTGTTAGAAGCGGGCAGCATGTTTTGATAGTTTGCTATTTACACAAAATACAGAGTGGAAATGGTCATTTAACAATGGCAGTGAATGTGTGTTCAGTGACTTTGGATCACTGTGTGACGGACTTGAATTGGTATGAGAGAAAACACATGCTTACAGTATTTGCATAGATTGTTTCATTTAAAGATTATTTATATTTTACTTGCTAAACACAATAATATGAAAAATGACATAATATCTTTTTTCAAAAGAACTGTCTGCATAAGATAGAAGTGCCAAGCAAAGAAAATGTTTGTTTATTGTAAATGAAAAATCTTTTTAAATGATGTGCTAAACCAATGGGATTTGGCAGATGTTCAGAAGACAGGATTGTTAATGCATGCATGAACTGACTGATGTTACTGTAATGTACAAGATATTTGTCGAGGCACAAAGGTGACCAGTATTGGAGTATTATGACTGTTGTTAAAGGAAGTTACAGAAAATACAAGAAGAAAGGCAACATTCAGAAAGCTCTTATCCATTCGAACAGATGTTCATCATAGACCTAAAAAGTTTTTTACTTGTCATTTTAAATTCATATATTGTAATTTTTGTATTTGTATATAAAAATGCTTGTATTTTTGTTTAAGATGACACAATTTATCCAATATTTTAATGAAATTTTTAATAAAATGATTATTGAAACCCAGCTAATTCATGGATTTGGACTGAAATGTTAGGTGTCTGGGAGAGAATATCTTTAAACTCTTGATAATTATTTAGGGTAATAAATCTGTCAAGCCATAGTATGCAAGCAAATGTGTTTGTTTCTGTTGTTGTTGTTCTTAACACTGCAGGCACACATGACGAGTAGATTTATATGCTGAGATTTATTCCAAAGAATAAAGTCAATACATTCATGTAACTCATGGCCAATAGTGGTAAGTTAAATGAAGTTCAAAATGTAGGTTTGGGACAAGGTAACGGTGGCCGTCCCAGAGCTGCCGGCTCTCCCAGACAAGGTAACGGTGGCCGTCCCAGAGCTGCCTGCTCTCCCAGACAAGGTAACGGTGGCCGTCCCAGAGCTGCCTGCTCTCCCAGACAAGGTAACGGTGGCCGTCCCAGAGCTGCCGGCTCTCCCAGACAAGGTAACGGTGGCCGTCCCAGAGCTGCCGGCTCTCCCAGACAAGGTAACGGTGGCCGTCCCAGAGCTGCCGGCTCTCCCAGACAAGGTAACGGTGGCCGTCCCAGAGCTGCCGGCTCTCCCAGACAAGGTAACGGTGGCCGTCCCAGAGCTGCCAGCTCTCCCAGACAAGGTAACGGTGGCCGTCCCAGAGCTGCCTGCTCTCCCAGACAAGGTAACGGTGGCCGTCCCAGAGCTGCCTGCTCTCCCAGACAAGGTAACGGTGGCCGTCCCAGAGCTGCCAGCTCTCCCAGACAAGGTAACGGTGGCCGTCCCAGAGCTGCCGGCTCTCCCAGACAAGGTAACGATGGCCGTCCCAGAGCTGCCGGCTCTCCCAGACAAGGTAACGATGGCCGTCCCAGAGCTGCCGGCTCTCCCAGACAAGGTAACGATGGCCGTCCAGAGCTGCCGGCTCTCCCAGACAAGGTAACGGTGGCCGTCCCAGAGCTGCCTGCTCTCCCAGACAAGGTAACGGTGGCCGTCCAGAGCTGCCGGCTCTCCCAGACAAGGTAACGGTGGCCGTCCCAGAGCTGCCGGCTCTCCCAGACAAGGTAACGGTGGCCGTCCTAGAGCTGCCTGCTCTCCCAGACAAGGTAACGGTGGCCGTCCCAGAGCTGCCTGCTCTCCCAGACAAGGTAACGGTGGCCGTCCCAGAGCTGCCAGCTCTCCCAGACAAGGTAACGGTGGCCGTCCCAGAGCTGCCTGCTCTCCCAGACAAGGTAACGGTGGCCGTCCCAGAGCTGCCGGCTCTCCCAGACAAGGTAACGGTGGCCGTCCCAGAGCTGCCGGCTCTCCCAGACAAGGTAACGATGGCCGTCCCAGAGCTGCCGGCTCTCCCAGACAAGGTAACGGTGGCCGTCCCAGAGCTGCCGGCTCTCCCAGACAAGGTAACGATGGCCGTCCCAGAGCTGCCGGCTCTCCCAGACAAGGTAACGGTGGCCGTCCCAGAGCTGCCTGCTCTCCCAGACAAGGTAACGGTGGCCGTCCCAGAGCTGCCGGCTCTCCCAGACAAGGTAACGGTGGCCGTCCCAGAGCTGCCGCTCTCCCAGACAAGGTAACGGTGGCCGTCCCAGAGCTGCCGGCTCTCCCAGACAAGGTAACGGTGGCCGTCCCAGAGCTGCCGGCTCTCCCAGACAAGGTAACGGTGGCCGTCCCAGAGCTGCCTGCTCTCCCAGACAAGGTAACGGTGGCCGTCCCAGAGCTGCCGGCTCTCCCAGACAAGGTAACGGTGGCCGTCCCAGAGCTGCCGGCTCTCCCAGACAAGGTAACGGTGGCCGTCCCAGAGCTGCCTGCTCTCCCAGACAAGGTAACGGTGGCCGTCCCAGAGCTGCCAGCTCTCCCAGACAAGGTAACGGTGGCCGTCCCAGAGCTGCCTGCTCTCCCAGACAAGGTAACGGTGGCCGTCCCAGAGCTGCCGGCTCTCCCAGACAAGGTAACGGTGGCCGTCCCAGAGCTGCCTGCTCTCCCAGACAAGGTAACGGTGGCCGTCCCAGAGCTGCGGCTCTCCCAGACAAGGTAACGGTGGCCGTCCCAGAGCTGCCGGCTCTCCCAGACAAGGTAACGGTGGCCGTCCCAGAGCTGCCGGCTCTCCCAGACAAGGTAACGGTGGCCGTCCCAGAGCTGCCTGCTCTCCCAGACAAGGTAACGGTGGCCGTCCCAGAGCTGCCGGCTCTCCCAGACAAGGTAACGGTGGCCGTCCCAGAGCTGCCGGCTCTCCCAGACAAGGTAACGGTGGCCGTCCCAGAGCTGCCGGCTCTCCCAGACAGGTAACGATGGCCGTCCCAGAGCTGCCGGCTCTCCCAGACAAGGTAACGGTGGCCGTCCCAGAGCTGCCGGCTCTCCCAGACAAGGTAACGATGGCCGTCCCAGAGCTGCCGGCTCTCCCAGACAAGGTAACGATGGCCGTCCCAGAGCTGCCGGCTCTCCCAGACAAGGTAACGATGGCCGTCCCAGAGCTGCCGGCTCTCCCAGACAAGGTAACGGTGGCCGTCCCAGAGCTGCCGGCTCTCCCAGACAAGGTAACGGTGGCCGTCCCAGAGCTGCCGGCTCTCCCAGACAAGGTAACGGTGGCCGTCCCAGAGCTGCCGGCTCTCCCAGACAAGGTAACGGTGGCCGTCCCAGAGCTGCCGGCTCTCCCAGACAAGGTAACGGTGGCCGTCCCAGAGCTGCCGGCTCTCCCAGACAAGGTAACGGTGGCCGTCCCAGAGCTGCCGGCTCTCCCAGACAAGGTAACGGTGGCCGTCCCAGAGCTGCCGGCTCTCCCAGACAAGGTAACGGTGGCCGTCCCAGAGCTGCCGGCTCTCCCAGACAAGGTAACGGTGGCCGTCCCAGAGCTGCCGGCTCTCCCAGACAAGGTAACGGTGGCCGTCCCAGAGCTGCCGGCTCTCCCAGACAAGGTAACGGTGGCCGTCCCAGAGCTGCCGGCTCTCCCAGACAAGGTAACGGTGGCCGTCCCAGAGCTGCCTGCTCTCCCAGACAAGGTAACGGTGGCCGTCCCAGAGCTGCCGGCTCTCCCAGACAAGGTAACGGTGGCCGTCCCAGAGCTGCCGGCTCTCCCAGACAAGGTAACGGTGGCCGTCCCAGAGCTGCCGGCTCTCCCAGACAAGGTAACGGTGGCCGTCCCAGAGCTGCCGGCTCTCCCAGACAAGGTAACGGTGGCCGTCCCAGAGCTGCCTGCTCTCCCAGACAAGGTAACGGTGGCCGTCCCAGAGCTGCCGGCTCTCCCAGACAAGGTAACGGTGGCCGTCCCAGAGCTGCCGGCTCTCCCAGACAAGGTAACGGTGGCCGTCCCAGAGCTGCCTGCTCTCCCAGACAAGGTAACGGTGGCCGTCCCAGAGCTGCCGGCTCTCCCAGACAAGGTAACGGTGGCCGTCCCAGAGCTGCCGGCTCTCCCAGACAAGGTAACGGTGGCCGTCCCAGAGCTGCCGGCTCTCCCAGACAAGGTAACGGTGGCCGTCCCAGAGCTGCCGGCTCTCCCAGACAAGGTAACGGTGGCCGTCCCAGAGCTGCCGGCTCTCCCAGACAAGGTAACGGTGGCCGTCCCAGAGCTGCCGGCTCTCCCAGACAAGGTAACGGTGGCCGTCCCAGAGCTGCCGGCTCTCCCAGACAAGGTAACGATGGCCGTCCCAGAGCTGCCGGCTCTCCCAGACAAGGTAACGGTGGCCGTCCCAGAGCTGCCTGCTCTCCCAGACAAGGTAACGGTGGCCGTCCCAGAGCTGCCGGCTCTCCCAGACAAGGTAACGGTGGCCGTCCCAGAGCTGCCGGCTCTCCCAGACAAGGTAACGGTGGCCGTCCCAGAGCTGCCGGCTCTCCCAGACAAGGTAACGGTGGCCGTCCCAGAGCTGCCGGCTCTCCCAGACAAGGTAACGGTGGCCGTCCCAGAGCTGCCTGCTCTCCCAGACAAGGTAACGGTGGCCGTCCCAGAGCTGCCGGCTCTCCCAGACAAGGTAACGGTGGCCGTCCCAGAGCTGCCGCTCTCCCAGACAAGGTAACGGTGGCCGTCCCAGAGCTGCCAGCTCTCCCAGACAAGGTAACGGTGGCCGTCCCAGAGCTGCCTGCTCTCCCAGACAAGGTAACGGTGGCCGTCCCAGAGCTGCCGGCTCTCCCAGACAAGGTAACGGTGGCCGTCCCAGAGCTGCCGGCTCTCCCAGACAAGGTAACGGTGGCCGTCCCAGAGCTGCCTGCTCTCCCAGACAAGGTAACGGTGGCCGTCCCAGAGCTGCCGGCTCTCCCAGACAAGGTAACGGTGGCCGTCCCAGAGCTGCCTGCTCTCCCAGACAAGGTAACGATGGCCGTCCCAGAGCTGCCTGCTCTCCCAGACAAGGTAACGATGGCCGTCCCAGAGCTGCCGGCTCTCCCAGACAAGGTAACGGTGGCCGTCCCAGAGCTGCCGGCTCTCCCAGACAAGGTAACGGTGGCCGTCCCAGAGCTGCCGGCTCTCCCAGACAAGGTAACGGTGGCCGTCCCAGAGCTGCCTGCTCTCCCAGACAAGGTAACGATGGCCGTCCCAGAGCTGCCTGCTCTCCCAAGCCCTCACTTTCAAAAGTGAGTAAGCCCTCACTTTCAGTCTATCCCCTGTCTTACACTGTTGTTGTTTGTCATTAGAGTTTAGTTGCTTGTGTTCCCTTCTTCTGTGTATCCCGCAGAATTCCTTGAAACAGGATGTAACCTAGTCTTACATTATTTCATCATGGTTTTACTTTATTAAATTTACTTTATACTTAAATATAAAATAAATAATAAGATGTTTTGTTGTCAATTAGTTGTCAAGTTTAAGTCAATTATATTTTGTGCTTCCACAATTCACATTGCCTCAATAAGTTGGGCTATATAGAATAGAATAGAATAGAATAGAATAGAATAGAATAGAATAGAATAGAATAGAATAGAACAAATTAACATACTGGTTATACTTGCAGAACAATTAATAAAAGTCTTGCAAAACAATGTAAAAGTACAAAATGTAGCCTTGGCTTTCTTCATTCCATCAAAGTTTTGCTCAATTTTTTTGCAATTTTAATATAAGATAAATAATGCCTTGCTGTAGAATTTTTACTGCCATTCCTTTTTTTAATGAATGTTAAAGTCAATTTTATTTAGTGCTTTCACGATTCACGTTGGTTCAATATGCCGTGCTATTGGGAATAGAATAGAATAGTTGGGCAACATCAATGATATACTGCTTATAACAGACTCTCAGGACGTGACTGTCCTCTGGTGGCCTGGAAGATGAACTGCTCTGACCCTCAGGGGCAATACTAGCACATATTCAACACATGCTTATGCTTGTTCGTCCACAGGAGCCCTGTATAACTCTACAGTCGCATTAATGAAAGATGAATCCACTGAATACAACAATGAAGGGTTCGTCTATGTTCTTGTCTCTGGTACAAATGATATCTGTGAGTAATGCTTGTCGTGTCATTGGTGAGAGTGCAGAACATGAACCTCTGTGATTACACCACATTAATTGTCTGCTAGTTTACATCTACATTTCACAATAAAACGCCATTGTCAAAGGGTAGAGAGATGAATGTCCTGCCATTACTCACACTCAAAAACAAACCATTAACTCTTTCATGGTCGAAATAATTGGAATTTTCTCAGAAAAGTCTGTGTGAAAAGACGGTGATGTTAATTGAGGAAGAGTAGAAAGATCATGATCTAGGTGAAAAAGTCAACTCAGTAGGTTTGGACAAAGTGTCTTTCACTGAATATATAATGAATGGAATTCTCATATTACTGTATACTGAGAAGTTTAACTGTGCTGGAAAACCTTGTGTTTTTAGCTGATTGTCATGAAGGCAGAATAGATTTGCAGCCTCAGAAAAAGACAGACACAGATGAAGAACAGGTAGCAGTTTGACTGGGGTGAAAAGATCCAAAAAATAGCTGAAACCACATCATCATCATCATCATCGCCAGGGTGATAGCTCAAATACTCACAGAAGAAAGATTCAATATGTGAAGCATGATGTATTTGTGATTAGTGGATTCAGACACTGGGAAAAGGCACTAAATGTGTTTCACAAACATGATCACACACAAAGATTGAGTTTGTCTCCTGGTGAAGGCTAATGCACTAGAAGCTGACTGAAGCAGCAAATCCTGATGAAATAACACAAGCAGGCGAGTACATGTGATGTGTTTTTATATCGAATTAAAGAAGTTTGAAATCTCCCATCATGCCTTGTCTCGTCTGGTCAGGACTCGGTGTACAGCGCCCCCTGGTGGACACAGTTGTGCTACACTCCTGATGCTCCTAAAGAGATAGTCACTGTTCTTCTAATTCTGTGGCTCTCATTTTTCTAACTTTTTAACTAAGTAGTTACATGTGAATATGTCATATTTGTCTATCATTGTATTTTGCTAAACGTCAAAAGCAAACAATAACAACAACAACAACAAAACACATCCAGGTTAATATTTATTTCTAGACTTAGGCTATTTTAAAAATATAGGAATCATTTTTTTTCACAGCTTTTTTTTTATTGGATCAATTCGAATACTTATGAACAATTATTTTAATATAGGCTACTTTTATTAAAACGTAAAATGATCACCTTCAATCTCATGTATGCAAATTCAAATCAGACCAAATATACACTAATGTAGCGTTAATCTGTCAGCAATAAGAAAGACAGCAGGGAAGGACCGAGAATGGGAACGAATGGGAATGAATGCCATCCATGCAATAAAACATTCTCGACATTATCACACTTATAAGATCTTAAAATAATGCGACAAAGGTTTTAGAAGAAACATAGGCTATGATATGGACGTTGAGGCGACCAAAATAATTCAAGATGTATTAAAATAAATTTTTAAAAAAAAATACTTTCGAGCTGAAAATATCATTTATTTGTAAAACTATTTATTTGCAACGTTCCCACTAGCTACACTCATGATTTAAGCTATTTGCAATAGGCTGGACTACTTGTCTAATCTGCCGAAAACACGTGTGTAATACCGCGCACGACGAAGGCGATAATACCTTTAGTACAAAACCCAAACCAGGAAACACACAACCACATATCACGGATAACTCAAATAACGCAAGACAAGGAACAGAAAACTTTCATTGGGAAAACTGGAGAGAATTCAGATTTCTCTTTCTCTGTTCAATCACGTCACGCGACGACAACAACTAGACGATCATTTCCTCGCTTTAAATATGTTTAATATTAATTTAAGTGAAATATTAATTCATTAAGAGACTGAGATAAATAACATTGTATTGTATTATGTGTTAAAAATAAGTTCACCCAAAAATGAAAATTTCATTATTTATTTAGGCTATCATCATGTCAGTGCAAACCTGTGTGAATTTCTTTCTTCTATATAATATAAATGGAGAAAAATCTGTTGTTGTTTTTTTTTCTCCATACATTAGAAGTCAACATGACCCAAAATGATTTGTTTACGACCTTCTTTAAAATATCAACTTTTGTGTTTGGAACGACATGACGGAGAGTAAATGATTTAATAGCAGTAAACTTTACAGTGGATTTTCCTTCAGCAGTATCACTTTAAATTTATTTTACTCATAGATATTTTATTGATTTAATATTGTAAGAGATTTTTATTCCAATAAAAATATTGGGGAATATATAAAGTTTAAATACACACACACACACACACACACACACACACACACACACACACACACACATATATACATATACTGTATATACTGTGAATATATATATATATATATATATATATATATATATATATATATATATATATAGTTTCTACATGTTTGAATGACGAAAAAAACTCTGTTTAAAGTAGGCTACATAAAAAGCTGAATTTATCTGCATGTAAAGTGGAGGCCACAGCTGGACGAGAGTAGCGTATGACATCTGGATCTGGTTAGCTGGTCATAGGAAGCAGCTGTTATCTTTTGGGAGCTGGTTTCGACACCGCATTCCCTTCTTTCTCACACTTCACAATCTCTCCTTCTCTCTTCTCATGCTTCTTCTTTCCTAAACCCCAGTAGTTTTATGTGCAGTTGAGGGATGTGTTACAGCACTGACGTGTGTTCTTCTCAACTCTTCATGAAGCTGCCCATTGTTTCTGTTTTCTGAGCACAGATCTGACCTCTTTTCCCAAACATCCTGTAGTGACGCCCCTCCTTCCCTCCCTCTGTTTTCTTCTCTTGTTCCTCTTCTGCTCTTGCACAACTTCCTTGTTTTCATCTTGGTGGTTCACTACAGACACATGCAGGTAACTGACTAGCTCTCTCCTTCACTGGTTCATTAGTTGCTTGTTTTTGTTCTCACCGCATGCTCATGAACTTCAGTTGCAGTTTACTGAAATGTATTTCTTAAATATAGGAGTTATATGTTAAATATAGGAGACTTGATACAAATTGACTGGCAGACAGAAAATGAAAATGCTTTAAAGGGATAGTTCACTTTGAAATTAATTTTTGGTATGTTTTATCTCACCTCAAGGGCATCCAAGATGTAGGTGTCTTTGTTTCCACAGTATTTTCAATTTTGATATTTTTAGGTCAAAGCGTTCTTGTCTGTCAGTCATATAATGCAGGTCTATGGTCACCACCTCAAAGAGCAGCACAGAGAAGTCTAAATTAAACATGATTTAATGACTCGTAAATGTAAGTACACATTGATGACCTAAGACACGAAACGAGCGGTTTGTGTGAGAAATCAAACAGTATTTAAATCGTTTTTACCTCTTGTAAGCACAGTCAAGTCCAAGTGATCTGAGGGCGTGGGTGCTGCGTTCTGCACAAGGAAAGGCCTTGAGTAAAGCTGTGATTTGTGCTGCAGGTATGGTGGAGGGTCCAGCAACCACAGGAGCATCGGAGCCGATCAGTGTGGTGACGGGCGGCAGTAAACCTGTGCACCGCTTCCTCAAAGGACAACCCATGTGTATCGGAGTGAGACACAACACCATCCTTTCAGATGAAGAAAACTATTCAAGCACAGACCAATCAGGACTCATCCAAATAAATAAACCTAATTCAAAGGGGAATCAATATTATTTTTCAAACCCCACTCACAAATATGTTTGCTAGCTTTAATCAAATACTCACAAAATTTCACGGTGTCACTTTATTTTGATACACATTCTGTTGACTTAAGTAAAGTCGCAACTACTTGCCTACTAGTTCTCATTAGAGTGTTAGTAGAGTATTAGTAGACTGGTAGGGTTAATAGTAGTAGAATAAGTTGAAATGTAGTTGCAAAGTTACTTAGTAGAATATCTGTTGCATGGGGAGCATCACAATAAAGAGTTCCCTTTCGTCCTGGGATCTCCGACGTGTTGTCTGGGAAGTTCCCTGACGAATTCCAACTGCCTTCAAGAGAATTAAAAACGAGCCAATAGACATTGGCATGCAAGATTTGCATTCCGCGAGCCGCTTACCTGCATGGGTATAAAGGCGGAAGTAAACATTGCATGACGCTTTTCACTTCGGAGTCTCACAGAGTGTTCTGCTGAACCACTGCTGTTTGGAGAAGAAAGACGAGTCTTGGGAGAAAGAAGATCCTCTCGGTGTTGCTGGTGTGACGGCGCTTCAGCGGCCATCGTGACTGAGTGGAGCATGCGGGTTGCAGTTTCGCCGTGATCTGCCGCGGTGATCGCTTGGCGTGTGAGAGCACTTTTTTTCTTTCTTTCTAAAAGAGCTTCGCGGGTGTGTCAGGATGTCGTCTCACCCGTGCGTGTCTGGATATGGTTGGCTTCTCCCTCAGGAAGATGGCCACAAATACTGTGGATGAGTCATGTTCTCATTGCGGTCAAGAATGAGAGCCCTGAAACATTTGGGAGTGCCTTCAGATAATACTGAGTTCATCTGCAGGTTCAGTTTAGCAGGCGACTACTTCAGTGATTCCTGTTGGTGAGCGGATGAGGATTACCATGAAAAATGTTCCAATTGGTGAAAGATCCTATCGGGCTTCTCTACTAGCTTGTTCCCATTGGCGCTTCCGGTGGAGCGGTCGGAGCCCCTTCGTGCGGTTCCGGTTGTCTCCTTCGGGGTGCCGCCTGAGGATCAGATGTCGATCGTGGCATCGGAGGGAGAGCGGTCATCATCTGGTGATTACTCGCCGGGACTACTGCCTTCAGGTGTGATGCCTCTGGCTGAGCCGGACCTTGAGATGGCTGCTATGCTTGAATGGGCGGCCGTGAATGTCGGGCTTGTGTGGAACCCTTCACTGGGTCCCGAAACTTTGCGGCTGCATGATTGGTGTCTTGAGGCCGGCCGTTGCCTCAGGGCCTACTCCAGTACTTTTCTTCCCGGAAGTGCATGAGGAGCTGAGGAAGTCTTGGCTGGCCCCTCTGGCAGCCAGGCGTTGGCAACCTCGCTCCTCCTTCCTCACCACCCTTGATGGCAGAGTGGCGCACGTTACGAGGGAATCCCTCCAGTGGAGCGGTCAGCCGGTTGGGGCTTCAGGTCAACTGGGACAAGAGCAAACTCTCCCCCATGCAGAGGATCTCTTATCTCGATATGGAGTTGGACTCAGTTGCACAGATGGCGCGCCTCATGGAGGAACGCATCCAGTCAGTGCTCACCTGCCTCAGGTCCTTTCTAGGCAGGACAGCGGTTCCACTGAAACAATTTCAGAGGCTCCTGGGGCATATAGTGGCCGCAGCCGTAGTAACGCCGCTCGGCCTGTTACATATGAGACCGCTTCAGCTGTGGCTTCACGATCGAGTCCCGAGGTGGACGTGGCAGAGTGGCACGTTCCAGGTCAAAATCACCCCGCACTGTCGCCAAACCTTCTCCCCATGGTCGGATCCTGCGTATATCTTCAGGCCAGAGTGTCCCTAGTCCAGGTTTCCTGGCATGCTGTGGTTTTCACAGATGCCACGCCATGGGGTGGGGGGCCACGTACAAAGGGCATTGCAGTCTCGGCCCCAGCTGCATTGGCACATCAACTGCCTAGAGTTGCAAGCAGTACACTTAGCCTTGTATTGCCTCAAGGGGCTTCTCAAACACAAGCACGTACTGGTCTGTATGGACAGCGGTGATCGATGCGTGCATCAACCGACAAGGTGGTCTACGTTCCCGTCGCATACATTTCTTAGCCTTGCTCAAGGGGCTTCTCAAGCACAAGCACCCATAATGCCACGAGCAGTTCAGCAGTGTCATCCCCTTGACAGACTCGTTCTGTTGTCCCTGTTGAGTATGCTCTCACTTTCCTTGGATTGGGACTACCTCAGGGATGTTTCAGATATGTTTCACTATCCCTTTGGGCTAGTACATATGTGTATTCCAGGCCTTCACCAGGCAGCTGGCTTCCCTTCCCTTTTTTACGGGTCTGAAAGTCGATTAAAACTCTCATGAGAGTTAGTTTATATATAGTTGCAAATTTACTTATAATCAACCGAATATTCAAAAGGGACCATCAAAATAAAGTGTTACCATGTTAGGTCATAGTAGTTAAAGACACCTAATATAAAGTGTGACCAAACATGTGAATTGAACTCACAGAGATTTTATAATAGTTGCAGGATGTGTGAGTCTTCACAATGGAAACCTTGTGAAATATTGGCACTTATTTGAAAAGAATCTTTGACAATATATCTCTATGTAAAATGAATATTAACAGCTGTTTGATTGCATTTTACAAATGTGCAAAAGTAACAAACATTACTACAATATTTATGAAACGCAAAAAACATGTTATAGCAAAAATGGAATAAGGTCGCATGACCTTGTGCCAGTCCCCCATCACTGATGAAAATGAGCAATATAACTGAGCAACGATTTTCTGGGAGATTTCACATGTGATTGTCCATTTCCACATGTCCGGTGTAAGACTGTGCTGGTGATGATGGCCGTATGCATGATCATGTTTGGATTCGCCATGGATGTGCAGTCAGATGCGATGACCTCCGCAGACATGTACACCCCCTTCTGGCTCGCCATCCTGGTATGTGCTCTTGTGACTATATGAGCGTGTTTTTGTTCTTTCATTACTTCTAAGAAAACTGCAAAGCCCACAACCAACTACAACTAATGAACTACACCTCTACAAAACCACTTTTTTATTTATATTTGTCCTTTAAATTTAGTTGGCAAGTATCATGCCCTTTTCATTCATTTTAGTTCATTTTACAATTTAACTGAAATGGCATATCATGTAAGTTTAGTAAAAATACCACTTCACTCACAACAATTTGCAAAATGCAAAAAAGTTTCAGTCATTTAACAAATGTTAACCAATTTTAAAAAAGAGTAAACATTAAAGCAAATGCATAACCATTATACATCTAAACAATTGATCAAATTCGAATGCAAAATGTGTAAACCTGAGATCCTGAAAAAACATTGTGACTATAAATTATCTACATTTTATACTGTTGTGCTTTATTCATTCTTTATGCACTTCAAGTAATTAATTCACTTTAAAAGATAAACTGTGTGAATAGCTGTATTATCATGAGTATGGTAAAAGTTGAACACTAAATGTCTTACCTTTTTTGCAGTTCTTTATCTGTGGCGTTTTGTATATACTGTGTGAACACAACCCCTCCAAAAAGATTGTAAGTATCTTTATGTTTCACTGTTTGTACTCATCAATAATTTTGAGAATGCATGTGTCTAAACTACACAATTTTCTCTATTTAAAGTGTAATATTAAAATATTAGTTCGCCTCAAAATTAAAATTTCCTAATAATTTACTCACCCCAATGCCATCCAAGATGTCTTTCTTTCCTCAGTGAAAGAGAAAATACATTTTTTAGGAAACCTTTCTGGATTTTTCTTTGAATAATGAACTTCAATGGACACCAACATTTTGAAGACAAAATCAATGCAGTTTAAAGTGTTTTAATGGGCTGTGCACGAGCACTGCTGAGGAAGAGGGTCTTATTTATTTATTTATTTATTTGTTTATTTGAAAAGGGACAATGTACACTAATCAACATTCACAACAAATGTAAGTGTACCCGAGTTAGCCACAGGCTAGTTTTCATCGGCAGTCCCCTTGCCAGATGTTACTAGGCATCCTAAGATAATAAATAATAACAATGCAATACAGTTCAATATACAATAAACAAAAAGTAAAAAGAATAGACTGTGTTAAAATCACAAATAATCAAATAAACATGAGATATAAAATATAATTAGATGTTAATAAACGATACAATTATTGTTGATGAATTGGACCCACATCAATGTTGACAGTGTTGATTTTCAATAAGCCATTTCTTAACATTAATCTTAAATGAGTAATAAGGTGTAGACTCTCTAATTAGTGGGGGTATTGAGTTCCATTCATGCGAAGCAGTAAATGAAAAGACAGCCTGACTGAATGCAGTTTTTTTAAGTGGGATTATACAGTCTCTCCTAGCTGCACCTCTTGTAACTCTGTTTGTATTTGATTTAAAAGTGATAAGGCCAAATAAAGGAGGAGGAGCTAAGCAGTGCATGATCTTATAAACTAAGCAGACATTTCTGTATTTTATTAGGTTATCCCAACTAAGCAATTTATACTTCTGTAAGATATGGCAATGGTGATGACGAAATGACTTTTTATCTAGAATTTTAAGTGATTGTTTAATCGTCTTATCTAGCGAAACGATCATTCGCCCACCCCACCCCACCCCCCACAAAAAAACCTGGGTGTTTAAAGTCCCTGTAAAGTCAAAATTAAGTATGTGTTCTGAGTTTGTCACACCACAGAAAAATGTGATATTAGCCACCCAGCCAAATTTGAATGATAAAAAAGCCGGCAAGTACATAAAATAAGCTATCAAAATCATGAAAAAATGAGCAGTTATCTCTGTTCTTAAACGCTGGGGGCGTGTCCGCTGGCTGCGTGGAAGCCACGCCCACTGGCGGGAAAGCTGTCGACGGTGATATTAGCTGAAACTGCTTTCGGGACGGGAGGATGAACACTGAGGCGGGAGATAGTCGGTCCGGCCCCGTTCACCAGTAACAGCGGATTATCAGTGAATAGTTGTCTCTGAGGAAAGTTTATAAAACGATCCAGTGTAAAATGATCACTACAGAGGCGGGTGTTGCTGTCGGTGATCCTCAGCTCTTCATCAAGGTTGGTTCTCTAAAAACCTCTTCTTGATGTGATCGTTTTTAGGGAATTTAAATGAAGATACCGATCTGTTTTGTACATGATTGCATTCAGGTAGTAGCCTGTGCATTTCTGTAGGCATCGCTAGCTAGAAAACTGTAGGCTCAGCTGTAGTAACTAATTGTACTGACAGTCACTCGCGATTGAGCGGTGAATGCGAATGTGCTCGGGGAGTGTTATTGTGTGTTAGGGGAGAGATCAGACTCTGTGCGTCATCAAATAGGGGCGTGTCCAGGAGCTCATGGGCTCCAGTGCGTCATCGAGCCCTGTTTTAGCCCCGCCCAAACAATCCGTAAAATTGCAATGGTGAAAAACTGTTTAATGGTCTAACTGCACATTTCAGTTCTTCACAGTTCACAGTCTTTGTAATATGTTTTAGCAATACATATGCAACATTTATAACATGTTTAGAACTTTTTTGTAGAATTGCCTTTACAGGGACTTTAAATCTCATTGAGCGTGACCATTCCAACGTGATGATGACATAGTTCCTGGCACATTGCAGATCAGCTCAATCCGAACAATTGTAGTTAAAAAGTATATATATATATATATACTGTATATATATGTGTGTGTTTTTTTAATGACCTGAGCTGATCTTCCTCAGCTCCGATCGTGCACAGCCCGTTGAAGCACTTCATAGACCTTTGAAACTGCATTGATTTGGACTTCAAAACGTTGATGTCCATTGAAGTTCATTATTCAAAAAAAAATCCAGAAATGTTTTCCTCAAACATTTATTAGAAAAATTATTAGAAAATTTTCATTTTGAGGTAAACTAATCCTTTAATATTTTGAAACGTGTTTGATATTTTGTTTTCGCATTGATGTTTTCTGAACTGACTGCTCCCAGATCACAGCCAGCCTTGCTTTGAGCATCATCTCCACCCTTGGAGTGTTCTTCGGTTGTGTGGGGTTCGTCAGAGCCATCGTTGGGATCCATGACACATTTTGGAGCCATTTTGCTGAAAATCAAACAGTGGAGGAGAGACAACATATGGAACAACATTATGTAAGGGTTTTTATTGATTTAATTTTATTGATTTAATACTACCCGGTCATTAATGAATAACTAAAGAGGATCAAATGAGTAACACCATATTAACATTCTAGTAACGACAATTAACTAACAAGAAACTCTGAATTGGTAAGTAATAGCGCACAGTTAAAAAAACTACTATTTTTTATACCTCCCAGAGGATTACTAATAAGTACTATTTACAGGTTCATAATTAATGAGAGTAAGAACAATGTACAACTAGTTCTAAAGTAAAGATCATGGTAACCTAAGAGCAATTAGTCACGTATTACCAAATTCTTCGGAAGGAAGGAAATTAAGAAGGAATTACTAATTATTTGCAACACTATTCTAAAGTGAAGATCATGGTAACCTACTGGTAAAGATTCAGATTAGGTTATAGGATCGGCATACGTCTGAGGACACCCCAGCAGCCATATCACCCTGCAGCCCAAGACTGGTCGCCCACTGAAGCTAAGCAGGGCTGAGCCTGGTTAGTACCTGGATGGGAGACCTCCTGAGAAAACCAGGTTGCTGCTGAAAGAGGTGTTAGTGAGACCAGCAGGGGGCGCTCACCCTGTGATCTGTGTGGGTCCTAACACCCCAGTGTAGTGACGGAGACACTATACTCTCAAAGAACACCGTCCTTCGGAAGAGGAGTTAAACCGAGGTCCTGACTCTCTGTGGTCATTAAAAATCCCAGGATGTCTTTGTAAAAGATTAGGGGTGTAACCCCGGTATCCTGGCCAAATTTGCCCCTTGGCCTCTGTCCTCCATAGCCTCCTAATCATCCCCATATACTGACTGGCTTCATCACTCTGTCTCTTCTCCACCAATAAGCTGGAGTGTGGTGGGCGTTCTTGCACAATATGGCTGCCGTCGCATCATCCAGGTGGAGCTGCACATTGGTGGTGGTTGAGGAGATTCCCCTTTCCTCAGTGCTTTGAGTACTCAGAAATGTGCTATATAAATGTAACGAATTTTAATTAATTTAACCCCACCCCCCACTTCACCCCGAGCTGAGTGGAACTGGCTGTGAATAGAGGTTTGCTGTCTCTCTTTCTCTGCTCTGATATCCTGAAAGAATTTTTCCAGAGTTGAGCTGTATTCTACTTTAGACTCTTGCATAGGGGATGTTAGGGTCTAAAGTAGGATCCCCTGTGGATGGGTTGCTTGGGTGTCCACTTAAGGTTGATGCAGGGTAAACAGAATTATAGATTCCCACTGCTATGTTTACCTCCCTCCTTAAGTACTGTTGGGTCTTGACGTAGGGATGTATTCTCCCCTTTGGATGGGTGCTTTATAGGCGTCTATAGCATAACCCGTGTTCAAGAACCTGCCAAGCAGAGGTAGACTACCTGAGGGGTAATCCTCCTTCCTTGTTGTCTATTGCAGACTATTCTTCTATTGTATTGCTGTGAGAACTCCTTTTTGAAACCTTTATTTTTAAGAGTTAAATGAATGCGCATGTGCAAATTACTAAATGAACTGAAACTCTCTTTTCTTTTTCACAGATGGCCGTCGAAAAAGTAGAGCAAGTGTTTTTCTGCCACAGCTTGATAGGAGGGGGTCTGCTTATAACCATGACATTCTTCGCTCGGGCGGCGCTCCGATCCAGCAGAACTCAGGTCCTCTTACTCAAACAGCCTTACTTCTGTCTAACACCACAGCAGAACTCAGGTCCTCTTACTCACACAGCCTTACTTCTGTCTAACACCAACACTCTTACAAGAAATGTTTAGAGGGTTCTGTCAGGCACTTCATATACTGTATATATGAATGTCTCTGAGTTCCTGGAGCTCTTTGATGGGGTAAGCTGGGCTGATGAAGAACTGTCCAAAGAACTGTCTTTTGGTGTGGGTTGGACGATCATCTTTACCAGCAAGCTCCAGCAACAGTGATCCCAGGTACGCTCGCCCGGTACCTAGATCATGTGCTGTGGTTGAGTGGTTCAGCCTGCACCGTAGGTGAGGCTGATGATGACATTGCCACTCAACCACCAACATCAGTTATCTTCTTCGCCACGCTTCCTGTCCTCGTTCAGAGTCATGAAAATAATTACTTAATTGACTTTGACACCAAGCCTGACCTGCCCGTCATGTCTACCGAGCCGGAACATTGCCTGGCCTAGCCTGAGAATCTTCATGTCATGCCTGACAAGCCTGCATATCACATCAGCCCTGCCGAGTCAGAGACAGGTTCACGTCATGCCCGCCGAGCTAGAGACATGTTCATGACATGCCCACCAAGCCAGAGACAAATTCACATCATGCCCGCCGAGCCTGAGATTCACGCCGATCTTGCCAAGCTTGAATCTTCTGTCCCAAAGTCTGACTCCAAATTTCCACCCGGCATCCCTCTCCCACCTCCTTCCATCAGCCACCTCTCTACTCTTCCTTCTGCGAGGTGGAGTCGCTGTGGGTCTGCCAGCCTGCAGCTCCAGCCTGGTCGGTGGATCCCCAGTCTCCATCTCCAACCTCTGCAACCAGGACTCTACTTTGGCCCTTCTTCCCATCTGCTCCACCTTGGCTCTTACCTCCCTCAGCTCCACCGTGGCCCTTCAGTTCCCTAGTTCCACCAGGCTCCCTCGTCCCCCCGGATCCACTTTGGTCATTCGGTGACCTTCTCTCAATTCAGGACTTCTCTCCTCTGGCTACGCCTCGTCCCTTCGTCCCCCTGGCTCTATTGGACTCCTCACTCCCTTCATTTCCCCTTTGGTCCTAACTCCCTGTCTTCACCGTGCCCTTCTATGTCCCCGGACCTGCGACGTTGCCATGTCCCGCCAGACCCTAGGCTTGTCGGCTCTCTGGCTCCATCCTGGTCTCCTCTCCCACCTAATCCTAACCCTAGCCCCCGTCAGTCGGCGCCCTGGAGTCATCAGCCCTGCCTCCTCCATGGCTCCTCCCTCCATCATCTCTGCCTTGGCTGCCTGAACCGTCTGCTCTGTCCCCATCAGTCGCCTCCCCTGGACTCATCAGCTCCACCTCCTCCATGGCTCCTCCATCCGTTGTCTCCACCTTGGCCGCCTGCACCGTCTGTTCCGCCCCTTGTCCTTCCTGCCTTCTGTCTGCCTTCACCTGCTCTTCGTCCTCCTCCTGAACCCCCTCCATCCGCAGATAGTCTTCTGTCACCTACTGGGAGGGGGGAGTAATGTCACACTTGTGTTCCATTTAGTTTTCATTAGACCTGTCTGCCTGTCCTCATGTCACATATCATCATCATTATTGGTTCATTGGTCTTGCCTGTCACCTCGTTGGTCTTGTCAGCTTTGTCTCGTTTCCCTGATCTGTTTCCCCATGTATTTAAGACCAGTGTTTTGCCTTGTTCATGGTCCACTCTATTTTGTATCGTGTGTGTGTGTGTGTGTTATACCTTCTGCCTGTCATCCCTGTACCTGTGTGAGTGATATTGGTAAATGTTTATATTGGAGCTTTTTCCCTGTTCGCCTTTCTTCTACCTACACCACACCGAGACAGTTATTATATAAAATCTTATTGTAAAGTGTTACCTTAAATGAATTTAGTTAATTTACAAAGACTGCATTAAGAGGTGAACTATAGAGTGTAAATCAACAATTATTTCCTTTACATTAATGCAATGTGTACTTTATTATACACAACTCTGGAATATTCGAATCACAGTATTCATTAAACAATATTTCAGCTGGGATACCTTTGTTTCCTACATTGTTGTGCTTGTGTTCTGTTTCTACAAGTAAACTTTATTTATTCTGCCATAGTGACAGGCTGGCTGTACGTTTTCTTGAAACTATTCAGAATTTCATAATGTTCATTGATCATCTCCTGGTCTCTGCAGGCTGTTGTTGTGATGAGGAACCTGCCGTCAGCGGAGTGACCCTCCCTAACCCAGCCGTCAGCGGAGTGACCCTAACCCAGCCATCAGCGGAGTGACCCTAACCCTGCCGTCAGCAAAGTGACCCTAACCCTGCCCCCAGTAGAGTGACCCTAACCCTGCCATCAGCGGAGTGACCCTAACCCAGCCATCAGCGGAGTGACCCTAACCCTGCCATCAGTGGAGTGACCCTAACCCAGCCATCAGCGGAGTGATCCTGAACCCTGCCGTCAGCAAAGTGACCCTTACCCAGCCATCAGCAGAGTGACCCTAACCCTGCCCCCAGTGGAATGACCCTAACCCTGCCATCAGCGGATTGACCCTAACCCTGCCTGCAGAGGAGTGACCCTAACCCTGCTATTAGCGAAGTGACCCTAACCCTGCCGCCAGCATAGTGACCCTAACCCTAACCCCAGAGGAGTAACCCTAACCCTGCCGTCAGCGAAGTGACCCTAACCCTGCCCCCAGTGGAGTGACCCTAACCCTGCCATCAGTGGATTGACCCTAACCCTGCCCCCAGAGGAGTGACCCTAACCCTGCCGTCAGCGGAGTGACTCTAACCCTGCCATCAGCGGAGTGACCCTAAGCCTTCCGTCCGCGGAGTGACCCTAACCCTTTCATCAGCAGAGTGACCCTAAGCCTTTCCGTCAGCAGAGTGACCCTAACTAAGCTGCCAGTGGAGTGACCCTAACCCTTCCGTCAGCGGAGTGACCCTAATCCTGCTGTCAGCGGAGTGACCCTAACCCTGCTGTCAGCTGAGTGACCCTGACCCTTCCGTCAACGGAGTGACCCTAACCCTGCTGTCAGCGGAGTGACCCTAACCCTGCTGTCAGCGGAGTGACCCTAACCCTGCTGTCAGCGGAGTGACCCTAACCCTTCCGTCAACGGAGTGACCCTAATCATGCTGTCAGCAGAGTGACCCTAACCCTGCTGTCAGCTGAGTGACCCTGACCCTTCCGTCAACGGAGTGACCCTAACCCTGCTGTCAGCGGAGTGACCCTAACCCTGCTGTCAGCGGAGTGACCCTAACCCTGCTGTCAGCGGAGTGACCCTAACCCTTCCGTCAAAGGAGTGACCCTAACCCTGCTGTCAGCGGAGTAACCCTAACCCTGCCGTCAGCGGAGTGACCCTAACCCTTCCGTCAAAGGAGTGACCCTAACCCTGCCGTCAGCGGAGCAAACCCAGATCGTCTGAACATTCACCAAATGTACGCCTAGGAGGAGCCAGGATACTTCACTGATAATCAACTGTGATCTTTGAAATTACTAGAGTATGAGCATTAGAATGTAGTATCTCTTTTTAGTGTTACTAATACCAGTGTTTTGTACTGAGACCTACAATATAAAACAGCCATCGGTGTTCTTGTTTTCCAGTACTAATTTCTAAACATTCTTAAATCAAAATACATTTATTCAAGAAACAAAATGTTTTCCCTTTGAATTAAATTCAGTTTCTGAACACATTGTCAGATAGTTGGTCTTGTTTTAAGCTTAAACTCAAATTTGATACATTTTTCATAAAACAAGACTTAATATCTGAAGTCATTTTGCTTATCTTGATATAAAATAATATACATTTATTTTTTGCAGTGTAAAAAAAGCAAAGCACTTTGCTATTTTTCAATTCACATTAACTGAAAAACACATTGAATCTTGGCTATTTACTGTGAAGACATTTATCACTCGCTGAACTCTTTTCACTTATTATGCAGCTTAGGGCAACTAATCATATACAGTATCATCTACATCTTTATATTGGCAGATATAAATGACTCAAATCATTTACATTTCCTAAACGTCTGACACATATTGCAAATACATATTCCAAATGAAAACACCAATCTTATACAGTGATTATGTATATTTAAATGTAACATTAGTCTCTGTGATCTGATCACAAGTGCTAAATACAGATAATTATGTTTGTCTATATTAGTCCATATTAATTCAATGTAAGTATATCGCTTTTCACAATACATTTAGTTTCAAAGCAGCTTTACAGAAAATGCTCAGTGACAATTTCAGTGTTACAATCAGGAAGAGTTCTGTTATCAGTCACAGATGAGTGTGTGATATAGCAGTGATACACAGATATTTTATAATACATGTTATGTTTGTTAATGTCATGTATTCAGTTAAACAGACACAGCAAATAAGTTGCAATAAAAAAATTGTACTTGTAATGATTACAACAAGAGGCTGTTTTCATGTGAAACGTCCATATATGAATCTGATATTCATTATATTCCGGTCCTGCTTTCACTTAAACATCTCAAACTCAACATCATCATCATATATATCACTGGTGATCGCATCACAGCACTATATTGTGGCCCAGTATTAGACTTTAGTACACTTGCTTTTATAACTACTCCTTGTACACATGTATTTTTAAGGTGATTTTTATTGTCCCGTTTGTCATTTTGTATTCATTTTGTGTCCTTGATTATATAGGCATGGCAATATATTCTCAACATCTGGATGTAAGAGACACAAACCCTAAAATATTACAATGTGGAAAAAGTCGTTCCCACTAAGGCGGTTTCCCCAACAATGATCCTAGATGTAGGAAAGACTATAAAGCCCGCCAGAAATCAAGATGTAAGTTTTTTTTAGCTTTTAGTATGAATACGTCAGCCTTAAGGCTATGAATAAGCTTCCAAAACAATGACAAAATTTGCATTAATGAAAAGCATTTAAGCATTTAAAAGTTACAGTCTCTCACTTCTGTTAAAATGGATCAGGGATTTTATGACATCACACCTTCTAATCACATCTTCTGTCCAATCACAGACTCTCTAGAATCTGAAGCTCTGCCTCCTTGTTTACTCACCCTGGTGGTGTTCTAATGCCGTACGCCCTTCTCTCTTTTTCACCCGAAGAATTTGTCACCCTAAACCGTATAATGGCAGTGAATAGCGACTGGCGTCAAGCTTTAAAAAAGATTCAGAAGTATCACAGAACGATCCGATGCGATTATACGTGATGCGATGCATATGATTGGTTTGCTGAAAAAAAAAAAAATTTAGGGCATGTCCACACTAATATGTTTTCGTTTGAAAACATTTATTTTTCTCTCCGTTTTAGACTTCCGTCAACACTGAGACGTTGTTTTAAGTCAACCAAAACGTATCTTTTGGAAAACTCTCTCCAAAGCGGTAAACACTACAATCAGATTCACCAATCGGAATGAATTCAGTTAGATTGAAACAAAAGCTGTGCATGTACACAATGCATGGCGACTGCAGAAAGCAAAAGCTGAATCCCGGACATCGACGGCCGGACATGTCCGGAAAAGAGGATGGATACTCAGCTTTCTCCACAGAACAAGAGCCTGCTAGCTTAGCTTCCAAACAAAAAGATGGCTGACACTATGTGTAATCCCAATCCTCCATAATGCATCCGTCAGTGTATTTAGTACCTTCGTCCTTATTTTCAAAATGTTTGATCTGTGATCAAAAAAATCTGTGATTGGTCTGTTAGCACATTAGGCCCAACCCCCAATGTGCTGCTTTGAAAGGGTGGGAACTAGTGCTTGTAGTCTTTACAGAAATCCCCCCTCATACACTTCCTCCTACAATGGCGTAAAATTACGTGTTTTTTTTTTTGTCACTTTTTTCATTTGACGTTTTGCGTCATTGTGGAAGGAAGTGAAAAATGTAAATAGCAGATTTCTCTCGTCTCAGGGGAAAATGAGAGAGTGTTGCAGGACCATTCAATAGTATGACTGGTTTCTAACAATGGAAAGCTAAATGGAAATAGGTGGAGTGTCCCTTTAAAAAATTCATTACAAATGCAACGTTTGAGTTTTGACGCGTGCGGCGTTCCGTACAGCGTGGCACGGTTGGGTTAAAGCCCCGCAGACAAGAAAAGAACACACGCAGGACCTGCAGAGGGCGGGGCCTGACACTAAGCCTGCTTCTGATAGGTCAAATACAACGCGGAAGTGTCTTCTGATTGGTCATTACCTTTTTTCTGACGATCACTTCAATCATTTGCGGTTTTAATTTTAATAATTTTCATCAGCAGCTATTCTATTTTACGTCCACAAACTCCTTTAATATGTTCTTCTCATTACTAGTCATCAAAATGCTGTTCCCTGTAAACCCAGCTCCGCCTACGCGAGTTCACATGTCGATGCGCGCGTCGCTTCCGGTTCCTTCTCTTCCGCGCGTGTGATCTGAGACCGGTCGCACATGTCCATCTGCGCCTCAATCCCAGAGATGCCGTCGCAGACCCTGCCCGAAGCCGAGCCCTGCACACAGATGGAGGATGTGGAGAACGGCCTGCTGCTGCTCAAGGTTAGTAACACACGGTTAATCTGTCGAATACTCAAACGCTTTCACGGAGAGACTCGCGCGGAGGCTGATGACGCAAGCAAACGCGCGTTCACATCACACCATCCCCACACTGACAAACTCAGTCTCGATAGATCATATCAGTGCTGTTACTGTTACTGAAGTGTTAAAGTGTGTTATTCCGAACCCAGACAGTGTACATGTGGGCTCACGTGTGTTAAAATACTGTGATGTGCGTCAGTGATGATCACGTGTGTGTGAGAGCTTCGTGAACATGAACACGTGTGTGTTGTTTTGCTAGTGAGCCGACATGCTAACGACACATCTGGCGATACAATAATGCATTTAATAATTCCACGTGAATGGAGAGGTTTAATCCAAGTCTTAATTTAGGCTTTTATGCGCATATAAACATTGATCAGTGAATGTACATGAGAAGCACATCAAACACAGTACAGTGAGGATCACACCTGAGAGCCAATGAGCTTCGGTCACGCACATCACGTGACGCGCTCAGAATTTCACTTTCAATAGAAACTTCAATATGTAAAATGTTTTTCTGAAAGCAAACATAAATAATGTATTTTAAATATGTACAGCAAATATTTTCTCACTAATAAAGTTAAGGAAGTGTCTTTAAAAATAATAAACACATTTTACCCTGTTAAATATTTTATGATTAAACATAATTAATATTAATATTTATATTATAAAAGATTCTCATTTAACCAAGTTCACACAGAAACTGTGTATTCTTTATTTTGATCACGATTCTATACTGAGTAACTATGGACAAATATTGACACATTTTTTAAAGATGATATATCCATAACTTAATATATTATATTTCATAAAGAATCGTGGACGCATTTGTGCGAGAGGAACTTCAGATGCGATGCTTATTACTTTCTTCTATTTTTCTCCAGAAAAAGAAAAAGAAGATGAAAGAGGTGTGTGTGGCAGAAGAGTGTGACCCACCGGCTCCTAAAAAGAGGAAGTCTGAGAAGCGTGTCGCGGAGACTCCAGACGAGAACGGGAACACGGACACACACATCAAGGTAGCGTTGCCTTTTTCCAGATTCGGACTTCAGCGCAATTTTGACTTTCCCGTAATTGTGACTTTTTCTCGCAATTCAAAATTTTTTTCTCTCTATTTTGAAGTTTTATTGCAATTATGACTTTTTTCTTGTGACTTTTTTTCTTGCAATTATTACTTATTCTCGTAATTGTGGCGTCTTGCAGTTTCACAATTCTGACTTTTTCTTGTAATTCTTTTTTTTGTAATTGTGACTTTTCCTCGCAATTACATTTTTTTTTCTCGCAAATTTGAGATTTTCTATTAATTATGACTTTTTGTTACAATTGCAATTATGACTTATTTTTCGTAATTGTGACTTCCTCGCAATTCATATTTTTCTCTCTTAATTTTGAGGTTTTATTGCGATTATGACTTTTTTCTCGCAATTATGACTTATTCACGTAATTTTGACTTCTTGCAGTTTCTCAGTTCTGACTTTTTCTCGTAATTCTGTCTCACAATTTTAACTTTCTCGTAATTGTGACTTTTCCTCGCAATTCAAATTTTTTTCTCTCTGTTTTGAAGTTTTATTGCAGTTATGACTTTTTTCTTGTGACTTTTTTTCTTGCAATTATTACTTATTCTCGTAATTGTGTCCTTCTTGCAGTTTCACAATTCTGACTTTCTTGTAATTCTTTTTTTTTTGTAATTGTGACTTTTCCTCGCAATTCAATTTTTTTTCTTGCAAATTTGAAATTTTCTATTAATTATGACTTTTTGTTACAAGTGCAGTTATGACTTATTCTTGTAATTGTGACTTCCTCACAATTAATATTTTTCTCTCTTAATTTTGAGGTTTTATTGCGATTACGACTTTTTTCTCGCAATTATGACTTATTCTCGTAATTTTTACTTGCAGTTTCTCAGTTTTGACTTTTTCTTGTAATTCTGTCTCACAATTGTGACTTTCTCGCAATTCAAATTTTTTTTCTCGCAATTTTGAGATTTTCTCGTAATTATGACTTTTCCTCGCATTTATTGCGTATTCTCGTAATTGTGACCTCGCAGTTTCTCAATTCTGACTTATTTCATGCAATTTTGACTTCTTGCAGTTGTTTCTCACAATTCTGGCCTTTTTTTCTAAGAATTCTGTCTTTTTCTCGTAATTTGACCTCGCAATTCTGAATCTAAATTTATTCTGTGATAAGTATTCCTTGTGTGTGTCCTATACCTGTACAGAAGAAGAAGAAGAAGAAGAAGGTGAAAGCAGAGGCAGAGAACGGCAGCGCGGATCTGACGGAGAGCGTGACACACACACACCTGACGGAGACCGCAGCAGATCCAGCACACACACACACACCGTCCAGCGAGGACTCGGACAGCGACCGTGACACGGTGCGTTCACAGCTACTCTGCTGCTCTCAGTGTGTGTGTGTGTGTGTGTGTGTGTGTTCACTGACGTGTGTGTGCTTGTTTCCACAGGAAACCCCAGAGCAGAAAGAAGGAGCTTTCTCCAACTTCAGGATCTCTCCCAACACCATCAAACTGCTGCAGGGTAATGCTAATCACACACACACACGCTAATCACGCAAAACGCTAATCACACACACACACATGTGCTAATCACGCACGCACTGATGTGCTGCAGCAACACTCACTGTAATCATGGTATTGTGGCAGAAATCTGGCAGATTCATATTGAACGTTAGTTATTATATTAGAGGGAGGCATTCCTGTGGTGTCGCCATCATGGAGGGTCAAGGGTTAATTATTACAGAATATTCATTCCCCCTATAATAATGAGGATGTGTCCGTGTCCACAGATGTTTCTGCGAAAGGAAATAAATGTTCCCTTGCATCTCTAGAGACACATGTAATATTATTAGCATTAATGGTGATATTATTGTTATTATTATTAATGCTGAATGATGATGATATAATTATTATTATTAATGCTGAATTAATGATATTATGATTATTATGATTAATGCTGAATGATGATATTATTATGATTAATGGTGAGTCGGTGTGTTTGTCTATAGTGGATTATTTTGTACGCTGCTGATTACAATCGCGCTCATGCTAAAGTGGTGATTTATATTGTGTGTTTCAGCGCGTGGCGTCTCGTACCTGTTTGACATCCAGGTGAAGACCTTTAACTCGGTGTATGATGGGAAGGATCTGATTGGCCAGGCCAGGACCGGCACCGGCAAGACCTTCTCGTTCGCGGTTCCTCTGGTGGAGAAGCTGCAGTCCGATATGGAGGACCGGCGGAGGGGCCGCGCGCCCAAGGTACTGCTCGCAGCACTGCATTATGGGTCACACACACTGTGCCGTCGTCTCCTGGAGAGGTGTGGTTTAGGAATGCGCATCACAAACACACTGTGCTGTTTTACCACTATACCTGCAGAACTACAAGATTCCTGAAGTCGTCCTTCATATACACAAACCCATCTATGAACTAAACCTGCTGATCATGATGCAGGACCTGAGATGATCACATGACCACTTTCACTCATTTACTATTCATTAGTCACATAGAAATAGTGCAGATTCACAGATTTCTTAGTATCATCAAAAGACAAACTTTTGGATTTATTGACGTGATTAGATTTGTTTTCGTTACGTTAGCTTGGTCATGTGGGAAACCCGGTGAGTTACGGCTGAGTCTGTTTCTGCTGCTCACGCTCATCTGAGGTCACAGCACACCTCTGATGGACAAAATAAAACATTTCACTCAAAAAGTGCCCAGAATGCACAGAATATGCATGTCTGATGTGTTTAACAGGAACTGTCAGACTCTTTATAGAAAATATGTATTGAAAATTGACCAATTTAAACTTGTTTTTTTGTTTAAAATCAGTTTCGGCAGGTCAAACTCAATGAAGATCTGAAATCGGAATCGGTGCATCTCAGTTAAATATGGTCACATACGGACCTCACGTGGTGCATCCTGGGAGTTTCACATGTTGTTTCCACTTATCTCCCTGTCTATTAAAAAAATGTAGATGTTTGTTCGGTATAGATGCTTGTTTGCGCCTCAGAGTAAAACATTGAGACTTTATATCTCCCAAATGCGTGTTATGAAGTCAGAAGTGCTTGATTTAAACATTCTGAGAAAAACTGGAGTTTATTTCTCTCGACTGCGAACTTCTCTCTCATAATTCTGACTTTAAAACTCGAAATTGTGAGGAAGTTGCAATTATCTTTGTTATTTTGTCCTTTGTGGTGTAAACAAGCTTCCGTATTTTGGTTCGGTTTGTTCTTCTGTGAGACGATTGCTCGTGTGTTTAAGCCAAAGCCTTTGGGTCAGAAGCTGTGTGTCTTGAGAAGAGTTGACCCGATGACTGTGTTCTGGCAGGTTCTGGTTCTGGCTCCGACTCGAGAGCTCGCCATTCAAGTGTCCAAAGACTTCAAGGACGTCACCAGGAAACTGTCGGTCACGTGTTTCTACGGAGGAAGCTCCTACAACCCGCAAGGTGGGCGTTTAATCGTGATGTTGTTCAGGGCTAGTAAAGTGCGCTAACTCATGAAGTCATGTGATATGATAATGATGAAAGTGTGTAAAATAGACTTAAAATATATTTAAACTGATATAACCTACAGATGTGTTTCACATTCTTTTTCTGCCTACATTAGGATTATTAAACAGAAACTGAATAATCAAATATAAATATAAAACACTGCTTAGTTTTCACTGTAGGAATTAAAAACTGATTCTTATTAAAGAGTTATTCAGCCAAGAACAGAGTGATTTCTCTGTGGTTCCTGACCCAGTGATTGTAAGCTGTTGCGATAGGTGTATCACGATATATATATTTTGAGATTGTTGTTTGGGACACACTAATGAGGAACTGAATGAACAATGATAGAAGTGTTTATAGTTAAGGTAAATATGATGAATTTGGCACCTGTAATAACTGAGTTGTGGTCCATCAGTGGAAGCGATCCGCAACGGCATCGACATACTGGTGGGAACGCCGGGCCGCATCAAAGACCACCTGCAGAACAACAAGCTGGACCTGTCCCAGCTCAGACACGTGGTGCTGGACGAGGTGGACCAGATGCTGGACATGGGCTTCGCCGAGCAGGTGGAGGAGATCCTGTCCGCCTCCTATAACAAAGGTGAGCTAGTCCTGCTGTTCACTGGCTACGGTTACATGCAGCCAAACGATCCGCTAGTGGTGGGATTGGCGGCTCAATCGCACGCCTTCATCTATCCGATTGAGCTCGACCCCAATGAGACGTCCATCGGATTGATAGGCGTGTTTATTCCTCTTCTAATCCGATCGAGAACATGAGAACCCTTGATCAGATTGAAAACTGAGAGGAACTGCGCATGTGAAATTATGTAGAAATGACTTGATGACGTAGAAATAGAGTAATTTTGTATAAAGGGCGTAATGTAGGGGTGTGACGGTTGTTATAACCGTGAGACCGACGGTTATAGTTCAACACTGTCATTAGAACTCTATAACCACCAAAACCATGTTATTAACATATCTTGCAGATAAGGTTATACTTATATCAGTGTTGGGGAGTAATGGAATACATGTTACGTATTCAGAATACAAATCATCAGTAACAATGGTCTCCACAGAACATAAAATATTCATTTGATTGGTAACACTTTACAATAAGGTTCATTAGTTAACATTAGTTATAGGGATGTCCCGATCCGATCCACGGCATCGGTATCGCGCCGATACCGGCCCAGAACGCTAGATCGGAGATCGGAGGGGAGAAAAAAATATGAGCGATATCCAGTTTAGCGGCGCAGCCTGTCACGTGATGATTGTTGTGTTTAAGCACACGCGCGCAGAGAATCACTCTCGCTTTTGCGCACGGATTCTAATGTAATCGGATGATTCCACAAAAGCTGCATTTCAGTCTTTTCAGAAATTCATTGGCTATCAGAAAATAGCGTCATTTCATTCTCTATTGCAACTGGATAGATAAACTGTCACTCAAAGAGAGAGCGAAACTGGCGCGCGTAAAGTTTGAAGCGAAATTTACGCGCGTGACGCGCGTCAGAATCAAAATCCGTTGGCGGTCATTGTTTTTATGTCGACCGAGCATTCATCAAGAGAGTTACCGCTCTGTATTTACTCTGGATAGCAGAACAGCGGCGTGGGGATCATCGTCGCCGTATATTTGTGTCCACCGGACCCTTCGGAGCCGAACCGTTTGGCGAGTTTCACCATTTGCTCGCTCCAGGAGCTGCGCTGGATGACGGCCGCTGTCAGCGGTACTTCCGCCTGTCACGCGCCCAGTTTGATGACCTGTTGTCCCGCATCTGAGCGAGGATCACCCTCGCCCGGCCCCTCATCCATCTAATCTAGCTGTCATTTATTTTTGTTTTGATAATAAATAGAGCCAGCCTTCAAAAGTTATTAACCTGTCCTGTGATTTTTTCACGTCCAGACACGAATTTATGCACATATGTTGATATATATATAGCGCGCTATGTATGTTATGCGCGCAGTATGTCTCGCTCTAGATTCCGGGAGATTTGAACTAATTTGCGGGCATCAGGGAGACGCTATCAATATGCGGGAGACTCCCGGAACTTCCGGGAGACTTGGGATGTCTGTCTTTACAACATAATACTATTTCTAGATATGGAATGAATAACATTCAATACAAAATGAACATGTCTCCATATAGAAATAATGTTTTAAGTGATGAAACATTTGCTTTGTTGTGCATAATCCCACCATGCATTTAGTCATATTAACAAAATAATTTATTGAAGCATCCAGACACTTCACCACGTGAGCAAGCAGCTAGGCTCCTGATTGGTTAACGCGGCGCGAATTCACGCCAAAGTTCAGATTTTTCAACTCGGGCGGCAGACGCGAATTCGCGTCAAACGCGTGAATGCACAACGCTCAATTCGCGCCATTCGCGCCAACTTGACGCGCGAATGAGGCGTATTCGCGTCTTCCGCGCCGCGCTCCACGCCTCATTCGCGCCGCAGGAATTTTTCTTGCATTGACTTAACATTGAAATCATTCGCGCCTGACGCCCTATTCGCGTCCGGTGTGAACGTAGCATTAGTGCGTCGAAGTTGTGATAGCGCTGTCGGCTAACGCGAAATGCTACTATTTACATTCCATGGATGTTTATTCATACAATTGTTTTGGACTAAAAACTTCTTCAAATTGGATTGTATGGACGCTTTACAGTGAAACCAAACCATTTTTGTTGGAATGTGGACTAACAGATGGCTATTTGGTGAGTTTCTTCCAGTTTGTGTTGGTTTGTTTTGGCTGTTGGTGGTCTGACAAAGAGACAGATTGTGCCCGCTGTGTTGATTGTATCTTAAAATGGTTTACGTCGTTCGAATCACGAGTTTCTCAGCTTTCCAAAGATATGTATTATGTTTACTTTTGTGTTTGTTTTGTCTTTCACAAAGTTAAACCTATAAACCACCCTGTGGGCCGTATACGGCACGTCGGACCACGAAAAAAAAAATATCGGACTAATATCGGTATCGGCAAAAGCCAAAGGTGCGGCATCGGTATCGGAAGTGAAAAAGTGGTATCGGGACATCCCTAATTAGTTAATGTATTTACTAACATGCACTAACCATGAGCAATGCATTTGTTACGGCATTTGTTCATCTTTGTTAATGTTAGTTCATGAAAATACAGCTGTTCATTGTTTGTTCATGTTAGTTCACGGTGCGTTAACTAATGTTAACAAGATTTTAATCAAGTATTAGTAAATGTTGAATATAACATTAACAAAGATTAACAAATGCTGTATATGTGCTATTCATTATTAGTTCATATTAACTAATGTAGTTAACTAATATTAACTAACGAACCTTATTGTAAAGTGTTTCCAGTTGATTTAATGTTTCGTGTTCGCATTTATGAGGAAAAAACAATGTTACGGATGTGATTGGTCTGAAAGCGCCACTAAAAGACGTGACATATAATCACATCTCACAGAGTAAAACGTTCACAGACAGGACACACTCCTAGCGTAATGTAGAAATGACGATAATAAACGACCAGACACTGATGACGAGCAGAGGATGACGTCGAAATGTACAAATGACGTAGAATTGCCGTAATGATGTAGAAATGGCATAAATGCATAAAAATTTCATAATTTTTTAGAAATGGCGTAATGATGTAGTATTGGCGTAAATATGTAGAAATGGCGTAATGATCTAGAAATGGCGGAATGAAGAAATGGTGTAATGATCTAGAAATTACGTAAATATCTAGAAATGGCGTAATTTTGTAGAAATGGCGTAAATATGTAGAAATGACGTAAATATGTAGAAATGGTGTAATTTTGTAGAAATGGCGTAATGATGTAGAATTGGCGTAAATATGTAGAAATGGCGTAATGATCTAGAAATGGCGGAATGAAGAAATGGTGTAATGATCTAGAAATTACGTAAATATCTAGAAATGGCGTAATTTTGTAGAAATGGCGTAAATATGTAGAAATGACGTAAATATGTTGAAATGGTGTAATTTTGTAGAAATGGTGTAGTGATCTAGAAATGGCGTAATTTTGTAGAAATGGTGTAGTGATGTAGAAATGACGTAAATATGTAGAAATGGCGTAATTTGTCGAAATGGCATAATGATCTAGAAATGGCGTAATTTTTTAAAACTGGCATAATTTTGTAGAAATGGCGTAATGAAGAATTGGTGTAATGATCTAGAAATGACGTAAATATGTTGAAATGGTGTAATTTTGTAGAAATGGCGTAATGATCTAGAAATTACGTAAATATGTAGAAATGGCGTAATTTTGTGGAAATGGCATAATTTTGTAGAAATGGCGTAATGATCTAGAAACAATGATCTATGTAGAAATGGTGTAATTTTGTAGAGAAACGGCGTAATAAAAAATGGCGTAATTTTGTAGAAATAGCGTATAGGGCTGGGTATTGAGACAAATTTCACAATTTGATTTCGATTCACAAGCTTGCAATTCAATTTCGATTCGATTCAATATCGATTATTTTGGATATCAGTTACAATAAATGGCAATTTTTCTCAAGGGAATCAAATCTCTTAAATGCTGTAAACTATGGTCTATATATATAGTCTAGTTGTAGCCTACTGGGCTTCATTAGCCTAATATGAAGGTAATAATGAACTGTTTTGTAGCTCTACAAACACTTAAATGACACTTTTATTTATTTTTATAATAAGAAGATTATATGAAATATAAACATTTAAATGGTGGCTATCATAAAAAACTTTCCAGATTTATTCAAATATGCATTAAATATTGAAGAACACTAACGAGTGTGGACTAACGAGTTGATGTGGGTTTTCTGAGGTAAATATGACGATACATTGATTTCAAGCTGTTTAACTGACGTCTTTCCACGGTTGAAACGCTGATTGAGTGAATCAATGTGACATGATTCGGATTTGGATAAGTTGTCCTCTATCTTTAACACACTTTCAGATGCTCATTCATGTTTATTTGGCGCTGTGACTGGTATTATTAAGCCGGAAGAGAGATCAGCGCTGCTGCTTCTCCAGAGCGATCTCACGCCACAGCGACAAAACGCTATTTATGTTTTTGAATTTCTAAAGAAAATGGACGTAATTTGAAAATTGAGACTTTGTTTCATATCAATAGTAACAAAGGACAAAGATTATTGCGATTTTTTTGGATGCGCGCAGCCGCGATATAATGTCCCATTCATTCAAATGAAACAGGATGACTAATCGATTCTTGAGATTTCAGAATCGATATCGGTTTGTAAAAATGAGAATCGATTAATATCGAGAAATCGGTATATATCACCCAGCCCTAATAGCGTAATGATCTAGAAATGGTGTAATTTTGTAAAACTGGCACAATTTTGTAGAAATGGCGTAAATATGTAGAAATGGTGTAGTTTTTTAGAAATGTCGTAATCTAGAAATGGAGTAATTTTGTAGAAATGGTGTAGTTTTGTAGAAATGACGATGGTCACTGTCTCCAAATTATGAGCAGAAATGAATAAATATTAAGTCTGCTGTTTTAAACCAATAAAGAACCAGTGTAGGAGAACAGTTACACATGTTTAGTGTTCATGTAAACGCTACGTTCGGTTTTAGCAATCGGAATAAATTCAGTCCGAAACAAAAGTTGTGTATGTAAACGTTAGCCGTTGAGTCCTATGAGAACTTCAGAGTGATTATGACTCTTCAGGAAGTGTCTTTGCGTTGTGAACCGTATATTTGTGGTCTGTTCCTCTCAGATGCGGCGGAGAAACCCCAGACGCTGCTGTTCTCGGCCACGTGTCCGTCCTGGGTCTATGACGTGGCCAAGAAGTACATGCGCTCTCAGTTCATCCACGTGGATCTCATCGGGAAGAAGACACAGAAAGCCGCCACCACAGTCGAGGTACGATTTTATTTTATTTTTATTTTTAAATGATGTGACCAGATGTCAGTATTTATTAGAGAAACAACATCCGATACTAAAATAATTCTGAAATCAACACCTATATAGAAAACATGGAGCTGCTATAAAAATCCTTAATTTTATTAATGCCTGAAAACACTGATGCTGTTTCTGCAACATGTGTAATGAGATTTGATGAGTATGAACCATCGGTGTTTCCTCCTCTAGATGGCGTTTAACACACACACACACACACACACACTGATGCGACGCTGTGAAATGAACTGCAACTCATTCTTTTCACCTCGTCTGATGACTTGAATAAGTGAAGGTCTTTTTTATTTGACTTATTTGACCTTTGTCTTATGCACCCCTTTGTAAAAGGTGTTCGCAGGTCATTGGTTTTAAAGTAATGTTTGGAAAATAACAAAAGTTTAAATGAGGATTTTTTTAGACAAAGTAACTTCTATCAGCCAATCAACACCAGAGGCTGGCTTTATGCAAATTAGCTACAAACACACACATGTTCAGCAGGAAGTTAGCCTTAATTACTGACGACTCGATTCAGGAGTTGAGAATCGGTTCGGTCACTCCATCTCTCTGACCTCTGAACTCTGCAGACCGCACTTTACATTCACAAACCGCTTTATCACACGCTACTCAGGAGGAAATATCTGCAAAGCATCATGGGGGTTGTGTTTAATAAAAAGCTCTTGTCTGTCGCGCAGCACCTGGCGATCGCGTGTCATTGGTCCCAGCGGGCGTCGGTCATCGGTGATGTCATCCAGGTGTACAGCGGCAGCCACGGACGAACCATCGTCTTCTGCGAGACCAAGAGAGAGGCCACCGAGCTGTCCATGAGCACGTCCATCAAACAGGTGCGCCCGCAGCACGCCAACACACCTTACACACACACACACACACACGCCTGTGCGTCTGGTGTGTGACTGTGGCTTGTGTGTGTTCAGAGTGCGCAGACGCTGCACGGAGACATCGCCCAGAAGCAGAGGGAGATCACGCTGAAGGGCTTCAGGAACGGCACGTTCGAGGTGCTGGTGGCCACTAATGTGGCGGCGCGCGGGCTGGACATCCCCGAGGTGGACCTGGTCATCCAGTGCTCTCCGCCTAACGTATGACATCATCACGCTCGACACCACTGCAGCTCGTAGTGCACACACACACACAGTGTAGATCTTCCCCATCGTACTAAACAATAATAGATATAGCTGTTGTTTTTATCAGTCCACACAGAGGAGTGATGTCACTGCAATCTTAACCCTTGTGCATCAATTAAAAAGAAGTTACACAGAGGTAAAAAGAGGACAAATATGTCCATGTCAAAAAACTGTCATAAAAATGTGACGCTTTGGAGCACAGACTTAAGTTTGGTATCATAAAGAAGACCCTTTGCAGATTATTGCTGAAATAAAAAAAAAATAATAATAATAAGTAAATCCAAAAAAAGTTAAATAGGTATAATTTAATGAAAATTATTTATAAAAAATATTTCATATAAAATATATATTTTATAAATCAGGTTGAACTCAAAACTGCAATAAAATCAAAGCCATAAATCTAAATAGGTTGTGTTCCAAATTTGAGGATGATATCTCAAAAAATGAGCGTTCGGTAACAGTTTGTTTGGGCGTAGTAACATATTTTCCCCATTGGGTGGCAGCAAAACCCCACTGGAGCTCACAGTGATTGGATTGGAATTTGCAGTTTTTCTCTCTCAGTATTACAAGCACACACATGCGCACACACACATATTTTTTTATAACACACATACTACATATCACCACACTCTGACATCCATACCAACACACACACACTAATGTCGTTGCATAATTTATCCAGTTGGCTCTGCAGTATGCCGAAGCAAAAACAGGAATAAAGCGATATTTGTTTTATAGGCCAAACTTTAAAAAAATGGCACCATCTGATAAAAAATAGTTAAAAAAAAAAATTTGAAGCCTTGCCATCAGAATGAAAGCCTCTTAACAAAGATTGCACAATTTTATAGTTAAGTGAACCGGGGATTAAAAATGGCAGTTTTAATGGGTTTCAATGGGGACATTTTTGTCCAAAAGGTGCTGAGAGGGAGTATTTTTTGTACCTTTTTTTTTAAGAAAATGACGGTGAAATAGTAAAATTCCAATAAAAATACACACCTGTGCCAAGTTTTTTGCAGTTAGCTTTAACACAGGCAAAGTGATCAAAAAAACAAAACTGAAAAGGACAAAAATGTCCATAAGGATGCACAAGGGTTAAAGGATGTTTGGGTTTTTTTCAGCTGATGAATAATAGAACCAGAATTGAACATTTAATGAGGCCGATGACACAACTTTGGTTGTTTTTATTGTATTTATTTGACGAGTGTGATCTGCGCACGCAGGACGTGGAGTCGTACATCCACCGGTCGGGCCGCACGGGCAGAGCCGGCAGAACCGGCGTGTGTATCTGCTTCTACCAGCGCAAGGAGGAGAACCAGCTCCTGTACGTGGAGCAGAAAGCGGTGAGACCCCATCCTGTACTAACAGGAAGTGGAATGTGTGGTCAGACCGGCATTAAAAGGACAACAGCGAAAATGTCCAACTTAACAAAATATTCCTAATGCGGTATTTACCCACAAACCCTCCTCAAGTTTGAAGTCGAATTATTTAGTTTGTGTTAATATGACCGTAGTTATGGCAAGCCTTCCTAAAATGGTGGGTTTTTTAGGACGATGTTAAAACATAAATGTACACAAGTGCACTGGTTCAAATTATTCATTTATATATTGGTACAAAATGTTATTTAATATGTTGGTAACATGTTATTTTTAAAAAAAAATCCTCAGAGATTATTTCACTTAATTTTGAATTTTTTTTCTATTTTTAATGCAATTTTTTTGGGAGATTGGTTTTCTATTTTTTATTTTATTTACCTTTAAATTGCTAGATTTGCTTAATAAATAGTAATTTAAGCACATCATTCAAAATAACTCACAATTTAATTTATAACTCTTAATTCAGCTCTACACGTCTGACATTGAGTCTCTGATGTCTTGTGGAAATATAATAATAATAGCACATGATATTTGACGACTCTAGATGGGCGTTTATCTCTATATGCAGATGAGCTGTCCCGCTGGGTCCTAAAGCCGGTTCCTGCAGTGTATTCACACACACACACACACGTGTAGACTTCAGTGTTAGTTTGAGTTGAGCATTTTTAGGTTTTTCTGTGTTTCTTCCGTTCATTCCCAAGGAAATTTGCAACCACAAAACTCCTCGAATCCATTACATTTGTTTAGTTTTTTTGCATTTGTGGTTCAAGAGTGATTTAAAGGAACGCTCAATTAAAAAGTTTCAGGTACACTGGATCAGATTAGTCATGTAAATATTAGACTCTTATTATGGCGTCATTGTTCTAAAGGATGTTTGTTTAATGGGAAACTCTTGTTCTCCTCTTCAGGGAATCAGCTTCAAACGGGTCGGCGTCCCGACGGCCAATGACATCGTCCAGTCCTCCAGTAAAGACGCCGTCAGGTCAGAGGTCACACATGTTCAGACACACATGATGCTCTTAGTGTTTGATGATCTGACACTTGCTTTGCAAACCCAAGTGTATTCAGACCCCTTCAACATCTGTCACATGATCAGTTTATTCGCTCGAGTTTAGAAACATGAGCAGAACTCAGTTCTCAGATCAGTGGATATTGGACTGGTTTTGTCCGACATGAGTTATGTTGAATATCTGTCAGCTGGTAAATTAAACTCCACATTTAGATAATACCAGTTTAGCTCAACCAGTGAGCAAGAAATGCTTCATGTTGTTCAGTGTGTGTGTAAAAAGAGCATTAGCAATTACAAAAAACACACTTCAGCAAAACATCATCAGATGTAAGTGGAGGGATCAGTTTTGTCCCGGATGTGTGTGAATGTCACTGGTAGTCACTGTGTGTGTGTATCGCTCAGGTTCCTGGACTCGGTCCCGGCGTCTGCGGTGGAGTATTTCCGCGCGGCGGCTCATGAGCTAATCGAGACGCGCGGGGCGGTGGAGGCGCTAGCAGCCGCGCTAGCTCACATCTCAGGAGCCACGAGTCTCGAGCAGAGGTCGCTCATCAGCTCCGACGCTGTACGTCACACACACACACACACACACACACACACTATATCAGTGCTCTCATTCAGAGAGTGTGTGAGCGATCGAGTTTATAACTAACGTCATACAATTATACAACAAAACACAGTTTCAGCTTCTGTTAGATTAGATTGTACTAAACTATGTTTATAAACTGTTTTATTTAATTTTTATTTTTTTATTTACAATCATTTAATCTGTATATTATGATGTCTTTCTAATTATTGAATGTTTTCCAAGCTTTGGCAATATTGTATGATTTACAGTCATGCCAATAAGAGAGAGAGAGAGAGAGAGATCTCCCAGTGTGTGTACTGACTGGTGTGTGTTCTGACTGGTGTGTGTACTGGTGTGTGTACTGGTGTGTGTACTGGTGTGTGTTCTGGTGTGTGTTCTGACTGGTGTGTGTTCTGGTGTGTGTTCTGACTGGTGTGTGTTCTGACTGGTGTGTGTACTGGTGTGTGTTCTGGTGTGTGTTCTGACTGGTGTGTGTTCTGGTGTGTGTTCTGACTGGTGTGTGTTCTGACTGGTGTGTGTTCTGACTGGTGTGTGTACTGGTGTGTGTACTGGTGTGTGTTCTGGTGTGTGTTCTGACTGGTGTGTGTTCTGGTGTGTGTTCTGACTGGTGTGTGTTCTGACTGGTGTGTGTACTGGTGTGTGTTCTGGTGTGTGTTCTGACTGGTGTGTGTTCTGGTGTGTGTTCTGACTGGTGTGTGTTCTGACTGGTGTGTGTTCTGACTGGTGTGTGTTCTGACTGGTGTGTGTTCTGGTGTGTGTTCTGACTGGTGTGTGTTCTGACTGGTGTGTGTTCTGACTGGTGTGTGTACTGGTGTGTGTTCTGGTGTGTGTTCTGACTGGTGTGTGTTCTGACTGGTGTGTGTTCTGACTGGTGTGTGTACTGGTGTGTGTTCTGGTGTGTGTTCTGACTGGTGTGTGTTCTGACTGGTGTGTGTTCTGACTGGTGTGTGTACTGGTGTGTGTTCTGGTGTGTGTTCTGACTGGTGTGTGTTCTGGTGTGTGTTCTGACTGGTGTGTGTTCTGACTGGTGTGTGTTCTGACTGGTGTGTGTACTGGTGTGTGTTCTGGTGTGTGTTCTGACTGGTGTGTGTTCTGACTGGTGTGTGTTCTGACTGGTGTGTGTACTGGTGTGTGTTCTGGTGTGTGTTCTGACTGGTGTGTGTTCTGACTGGTGTGTGTTCTGGTGTGTGTTCTGACTGGTGTGTGTTCTGACTGGTGTGTGTTCTGACTGGTGTGTGTTCTGACTGGTGTGTGTTCTGACTGGTGTGTGTTCTGACTGGTGTGTGTTCTGACTGGTGTGTGTACTGGTGTGTGTTCTGGTGTGTGTTCTGACTGGTGTGTGTTCTGACTGGTGTGTGTACTGGTGTGTGTACTGGTGTGTGTTCTGACTGGTGTGTGTTCTGACTGGTGTGTGTACTGGTGTGTGTACTGGTGTGTGTACTGGTGTGTGTTCTGACTGGTGTGTGTACTGGTGTGTGTTCTGGTGTGTGTTCTGACTGGTGTGTGTTCTGGTGTGTGTTGGCAGGGCTTCGCCACCATGACTCTGAGCTGCTCTCAGGAGATGCACAACATCGGCTTCGCCTGGCGCGGTCTGAAGGAGCAGCTGGGAGACGAGATCGACGAACACATCCGGCGGATGACCTTCCTCAAGGGCAAGAAGGTGCTCACACACACACACTAAACACACTCCACACACACTCCACACACACACTCCACACACACACTTCACACAGTGATAGTCTCAGATGCAGAATGGAAAAGTATGGTCGTGTATAAAGTATAAAACTGACTTAACACCCAGATGGGGTCACTGAAGGGTCACTGTAAAACGCTCCACATCACAGGAGAGTGTAGACGAACTGAATCCACACGAGCCTCGGCGCTCTGGAGCTGGAGTGGAAAGGTCTTGGTTTTCTGCATGGGAAAGATGCGATGTGTAACGTGTTTGTGTTTGTGTTTCTCTCAGGGTGTGTGTTTCGACGTCCCGGCCGCTAAACTGAAAGAGATCCAGGTATGTGTGTGTGTGTGTGTGTGTGTGTGTTTGGAGTCGTTTGTAAAGCGACTCGATAGACGTGTCTGTACAAACGTCCAGCTGATCCCGTTCCCCAAGCCACTCGCTCTCGGGTTTCACTCAAGCACACGTGTGTGTGTGTGTGTGTGTGTGTTCGTGTTCGCTGACTCAGCTTGTTTCTGTCGGTGTTCATGACAGCAAACTTTGATTTTAGTTTTTGTCAGTCCTTTGACTAAAATGCCCTTGATCTCAGAAGTGCGAGATATAAACATGCAACTCTGAGATGAAGTCAATAAAACTCCACAGTTATCTTTTAAAGTGTGTTATTCTGTGGCGAAAGCAGCTTCCCTCGTTTCATGACTTTTCGAAAGAGGAAACGAGTACAGAGAGATCGATTACACGATCAGAAGAGACAAAGATGACACATTTAATACCAAGCTAATAAAACAAAGTATATTGTTATAAATGTGTATATATTTTAGTCATCTGAATTGTTTGTTGATGTTATTCAAACGTGCGCATCATCCACACACACACACACACACACACACACACACACACACACACACACACCAGTTCTGGCCAATTCCCCCCACCGGACATTTCGGTCTAGTTTTTTATCCGTTGATGAATGTTTTTGTTTAGTCTTCATCTGTGAAGGTGACTAAGATAAAGCTATTAAAGGTGCAGTGTGTGATATTCAGGAGGATCTGTAGATATCATGAACACAACTGTGTGTTCAGTGGTGTGTAAACGCTTTGCATGATGAACCGTTATGTTTATTAGCTTATAATGAGGCGTTTCTCGCTACACACACCGCTGGTCCACTAACATCCACATGTTTCTACTAGTGTTGCTACTTCAAAAGTATCGTGATTCTCGGAGATTGAAAACCTCACGATACCTAAATTTATCAGTATCGATACTAATAATGTCGTGAGGCTAACTCGATAATGTCGTGAGGCTAACTCGATAATGTCGTGAGGCTAACTCGATAATGTCGTGAGGCTAACTCACGGCACACGTGATACTGTGGCCGCGGTCAGTAGCGAAGTGGCAATCCGGAGCGTCGGGACTGTTCCCGGTGGGCCGCTAGTGTTTCGAGGCCGCGAGGGCCGGTCTGATAGTTATACATTTTAAGTTCTTAGCAACACAATCCGGCGGACTGGTGTGCGGCCGCTGCCCGCGCGCGTCCGAGTGAAGATGGTGCGCGACTGCGCGAGCTGCAGAAGAAACTGTATCCATGCAACTGATAGCAGCGAAAAAGAGTGATCCGCTTGCTTTAAAAAAACACAGATTTTAGCGTTAGATCTCGTATTTAATAGCCAACTAAATGAATGCTCTGCTAGCATGTTTTATTTATTTTTGTATTAGGTGTACAACTTTCACCCCCAACTTTCATAGATAGCATAAATAATTTGCAAGCTGCTAAAATAAAGCATACAAAACATCAGCTAAAATGATCTATCGGCTACATGATTATAATCAGAGCGTGAGCATGTGTGTCAGTGATTTATTTATATGAGGTGATTTCAGCATTAAAGAGCAGACCTACAGGAGCTGCATGTGAAACACATGCCGAAAAAGTATCGAAATCGCAATTCTTGACTTGGTATCGGTATCAAAACAATAATTTTGGTATTGTGATAACACTAGTTTCTACGGTGGCCCTGAGTGGACACGCGTTTCGTCACTGTTGTTCTTCATGATAAGTCAGCGAATAAAACACTCACACAATGATGAACAGTAACTATAATTTTCGCAATTATGTCGTTTTGCTGAATAATTAAGTAAACCTTATTCCTTAATTTATCTTTGTAAAGAAACCTCATTGTTTAACTGGCTACTGACGACGACAACACTTCCTGTCGGCCACCGTAACTTCTGTTAGGTGCAGTTCACAACCTCACCACTAGATGCTGCAAAACATACACACTGCACCTTTAACATTGGCTCTGACTGGATCTCAGCCCTGACGAACATTTACGTCTAGTTTTTTTATTCGTTGATGAAAATGTCAGCAGGTTTTTGTCATTCAGAACTGGTTTTAATTTAGTTCTCGTCTCATTTTCGTCTATGAAAAAGAATTTGTTGACAAAAAATGATGCCGAAAATGCTTGTTCAAGGAAAAGAATGCTGTTTTGTGTGTGTGTGTGCAGGATAAATGGCAGGACGGCCGGCGCTGGCAGCTCTCCGTCGCCACAGAGCTCCCCGAGCTGGAGCAGAACCCTCATCTCACGGGCGAGCGCACGCCGGGGGGCTTCGGGGGCCGAGGGGGACGAGGAGGCTTCGGGGGCCGAGGAAGAGGAGGAGGAGGACGAGGACGGTCCTTTGGCTCTAGGGGTGGCGGTGGCGGCTTCGGCGGGAAGCGGGGACGAGGAGGCGGTCAGAAACGCAGCTTCAGTCGGGCGTTCGATTACTGATGGACTGATGGTCCGACAGACTGTCCTGTTTTTACTGCCGTTTCATTCACGTTCACTCTCGCTGGAGCGTGACGGCCCATGAAATACGCTGATGGCTTTTACTTGCAGTTGTGTCGTGTATATGATGACTTCCACTGATATTAAAGTGGTTGAACTGCAGCACGACTGTTGGTTTGTGTGTTTGGCTCGGGAGGGCCGGTTCACTGGCTCGCGCTCTTACATGGGCTTCAATGAAGTGCGAAATCATTTTTTTACTGCAGAGACTGAATCATAATTATTTTACAGTCAATCCTATGGAAGCTTGTTTCCACCGTGGAAATAAAATTTAAAATATATTTTTTTCTCGCAATTCTGACTTTTCTAATTCTGACTATTTTTGAGTTTGTCACAATCCTAATGGTGCGTTCACACCGGACGCGAATGATTTAAATGTTAAGTCAATGCAAAGACGCGTTACGTGTGTAAAACATTCCTGCGGCACGAATGAGGCGTAGAGCGCGGCGCGGTAGACCTGAATATGCCTCATTAGCTCGTCAAGTTCGCGAGAATTGAGCATCTGGCGCATTAAGCATGTTAAGCGCGAATGATTTAGTTAGTGCTATTTGTGCATTCACACGTTTGATGTGAATTCAACGTTGAAAAATCTGAACTTTGGCGTCAATTCGCACCGCGTTACCCAATCAGGAGCCTAGCTGCTTGCTCACTTGAAGAATCTGGATGCTTCAATAAATTATTTTGTAATATGACTAAATGCATGGTGTGTTTCTAATCCACAACAAAGCAAATATTTTATCACTTAACTTGATTTCAATATACGAGACTTGTTCATTTTGTATTGAATGTTATTCATTCCATATGTAGATTATATTAAATATTATTATGATGTGAAGACAACCGAAATCACAGGACAGTTGAATAACTTTTGGAGGCTGGCTCTATCATCAAAACAAACATAAATGACAGATTAGATGGATGAAGGCAGGGGTGATCTTCGCTCCGATGCGGGACAACAGGTCGTCAAACTGGGCGCGGGACAGGCGGAAGTACCGCTGACAGCGGCCGTCATCCAGCGCAGCTCCTGGAGCGAGCAAATGGTGAAACTCACCAAACGGTTCGCCTCCGAAGGGTCCGGTGGACTCAAATACGGCGGCGATGATCCCCCACATCACTCTCCAGAGCAAAGAGCGGTGACTCTCTCAATGAATGCTCCATCAACAGAAAAAAGATGGCCGCCAACGGGTTTCAATTCTGATTCTGAAGTGCGTCAAATTTGCGTCTACCGCATCCAGTTTGACACGCTTGACCACTTTTTGTTAATTCGCGCGTCAACGCGCGTAAAAACAAATTTGAAGCGAAATGTATGCGTGTCAGTTTCATTCTTGACGCTTGAATTACCACAAAGTGGTCAAGACGCGGTAGACGCGAATTTGACGCGCTATTCGCATCCGGGTGAACGCACAGTAAGGATTAAAAAGTGTGAATATTGAGATTAAAAGTCAGTTTTTGTTAAAGTCCCCCTCTGGTCAATCATTGTATCCCTTAACTCATCTGTGATCACCAAAATGATATTTAAATGTTTTTTCCTTGAGAAAATGTCTTCATGCCTTAAAATATCTTGAATGTAACTCGACACCCTCGCCTCATTTAGTATGTGTGGTTCTATGAATATGTAAATAAGCCCCGCCCCCACTCACTCTCCCACTGGTTGACGATCACACGTTGATCTGATTGGTTACAAGGTGGTTTGTGACGTCAGAAACACCAGCGATTTCAAAGCGTGTTTTTGAGACTGAAAAACGCCACAGAAAAACGCTTGCTGAAGCTCTGCTAAAAGATTTATTTACGGAGAACAGAAAAAACACCCCCAAGTGTTTGGGTGCACGTGCACTCCCATACTGAAAAGTTTATGAGCGCGCTTCCCGAGCGCCTATTTGAACATAGAGGATTTGACATAACGACCACAAGCGCGCAAAAGACGCGATACGTGAACTAATCAGGAGATCCCCTTGACATCGCTTCTGCGCACGGCACCTTCTCAGCAAGCAGGGCGCCATTGCCAATAATTGAATTGAAATGATAAAAAATAGAAAAACTTCGCGGCACAGAGGATTTTTTTTAACTGCTCGTGCCGCCCCCCATGTGACATGAAGAAATGCCGCCCTGGGCGACTGCCCGGTTCGCCCGTGCCTAGAACCGCTACTGCCATGTGTTTTTGTTTCATAATTGGAAACGAGCTTTCATAGAGTTTCGCTTAACCAGCTAATCAAGGTCTTCAGGATTGGCCACCAGACGCTGCAGGGCAGGATCGAGCGTTCCTGCAGTTCTTTACGTTTAATCACATTTTTGTCCTTTGTGTTCATTTGGGAATGAGGGCGACACGCAAATGAATCCACAGAATGAACTTTATTAAAAGATTTGTAAAATAAAAAGGCTGATATCTTCTCAGGGAACTCGTGTCACTGATCAGTGACCCGCTGTAAACTCAGGAAACCTCTGACTCGTGTTGGTTCTCGGCTGAAGGCGAGCGCTGGCGTGTGATGCGGTGTCGATCAGTCGTATTGGCCGGAGGAGCTGTTGTGAACGTGACAGTCTGACTGGAAGGAGTATCCAGAAAACTCCATCGTCTCACCTGAAAGCAGAGCCGTTCACAGGTTTCACGTCTACATTCGCTAACAGAGAGTTCTCCGGTACGCAAGTTTAGGATGTGAAGATGTTCCTTACACAGGCTTCCCATCCACATGGAGTTGGGTCTCCAGCCTCGCTCGCTCTCGTACGGCGGACTCCAGTGGTCCAGGGTCTTCAGGTGATCCACGATCTGCAGGAGAAGAGCACATGGCCTTATGGGAGCTCATGAAGTTACCACCAACCAGACCCAAAAATAAATCCCATATTGACAGAAAACGAGCTGACGACAAGATTATATGTAAAATTTGGAGATCTAGCATTATGAGAGATTTATTGGCTGGTTGTTTTTGACCTGGAACACCACATTGAGTAATAGATTTCCAGCACAACACAAAAGAACAGTGTAAACCAGTGTGTGAAGACTTGCGGCTCTGGAAGTGTTCTGGGCGACGGATACAGACGCAGTGTCTGCTCGACCGGGGAGGGATTCCAGACAGCAGGTTAAGCAACTTAACCCGGGTAAGTTTACTCCGAGGAAACCGTTAAACTCAACCTTTTCTTCCAGAATCTGAAGTTAGTTTCAGGGTAAGTAGCCGTTGCAACTAAACACTATAAAACCTATTGAAAATGGTCCATGAAGACATGAGAAGATATTTGGTGTTTATTGTTCATCGCTCTCACCTTCAGCACTGCTTCTGTCTGCTCGTGCTCCTCTGTCCTCTCCATCGGCAGTCCTGCACAGGAATCAGTGGTGTTAACCCTTACAGTGCTGGTCTGGTCTGGTCTGGGCGAGAGTAAGAGCGGTACTGTACCCTGAGCGCAGTGGATGGCCGGCCTCTCCTCCTCAACACACTTGGGGAGATCCTCTTTTCTCAGCGCTTCTGCGGGGAAACCGCCTCGGTCGTCTGAGAGCTTCCAGAAGGCCTCTGAGGACACACGGGAGAGATGCGCATGCTCAGACTGCTGCGGACGCAGGGTGGTGTTTGAGTTATTGGTAAGTACCTGTAAATCTCTCCAACGGTAAGTTCCTTTGTGTCGGTGGTGGAGGCGACGCTGCTTTACTATCGGTTTCCAAACACCGTAATGCTGAAGACAAACACGTCACATCACATCAGTCTTATTCATGCATTAGTAAAACTCACCCAAATCACATTTCAACAATTCATGCAAAACAGTATTGTTAGTGAATGCATTGTTGGCTATATTTGAAAAATTGCTTTTTGAAAGTCGTTTTGTAGAAAAGCTTGTTTCCGTCACAGTACTACAAATTTAAAAGGTAATTCTGACTTTATCGCATTTGGAATTTTCATATTTCGCAATTCTGACTTTTTCCTCGCAATTGCAAGTTTATATCTAGCAATTCTCACTTTTTCCTCAAGTTCATTTCTCGCAATTCTGACTTTTTAAATCTTGCAATTGTCACTTTTTTTATCGCAATTGAATTCTGACTTTATCGCATTTGGAAGTTTGGATCTCACATTTCTGACTTTTTCCTCGTAATTGCAAGCTTATACCTTGCAGTTGTGACTTTTTATCTCAGAATTGCGTGTTATAAAGTCAGAATTGTGACTTTTTATCTCAGAATTGCGTGTTATAAAGTCAGAATTGTGACTTTCTGACCGTTTCCTCGCATTTGCAGGTTTATTTTGCAGTTCTGACTTTCTTACAATTGCAAGCTTATATCCCGCAATTCTGACTTTTTTCCTCCTTTTTATTCTGTGGCGGAAACAAGCTTCTATAATATTTGGATAAAAGCGTCCGCTAAATCAATACATGTATACAGATGCATTTTTTCTGTTACTATATGTTTGTTTAAACCAGAAATATATTAATTAGTTATCCCGAAAGTTTATATGAGCAAATACCTTTGCGTCTCTTTATTGTTTTGCTGTGTGGAAGGAGAATATAAACTCTGAAAGCATTGTGGCCCTTCTTGATACTTTTGTCCTGAAGCTCTTTGACGTCCGTCAGGGAATTGAGTGCGCATCGGAAGTTTGCTTTCCATGTCTTGGGATCGGGTTTGTCTATGCCAGGTTTGTATCTCCCTAAAATCCATGAAGGGAGATCTGTTTGCATGATTGGCAATATTTTGAGGAAAGAACCAATATTTACAGAGTGTTTGGTGAAAGTGCATGCAGTATACATTGTTGCAGACATGAACGAGCTGATCTTGAAGGTTCACCTGTTCAATGTTAACAGCCTAAGAAGCTGATCAGAGGTATAGTGACCACAAACTATTCAGATGTACTGCAATTAAAAATGTAAACAAATTGTTGCATTATATATCAAAATATATTCTATATATAAATACAGCACCATTTTAGTCAAACATTTCACAGCATAAAATAGAAAAAAGAGGACAAAAGGTTTCTGATAACATGTTGAACATGATAGTTATTGTGATTCTCTTCACATCGAGATCAGTTGGGTAAAAGTGGCTTGGAAAAGTGAAGTTAATTCTGAGAAAAGCTCTGGAGCTGCTTCATTGGATATTTCGTATCTAATGAAAAGACACTTTTTAGTGCCACTTTAGTGTCCAAATGCTTTTTGGGGCCGCTTGTCTGGAATCCGATATTGTGGATGAGTTTCTAGTAGTCTCGAAACATCGAGTGAGAAATGACCGTACAGCAAATCTGCAGTCACCAGGTTCAGACCTGGGCAATTTTAACGGAGCTGGTGTCGTTTGGTTACCGATGTTCAATGCATGTGCTACTATGCATGTAAATAGCAGATTGTTAACAGTAAGCATTATCATTCTTCAAAATGAAGTTCTGAAGAACTATTATTCTGATTATTTGGGGGAAATTTGCAAGTACACTCTTAAAAATAAAGTTTCCAAAAAAGGGGTTTTGTAGCAACGCAATAGAATAAATTTTTTGGTTCCCCAAAGCACCTTTCAGTGGTCAGGGGCCCGTTTCAATAAGGAGGTTCAACCAACTCTGAGTTAAAGCTTGAACTCAGAGTTAACTTACCCTGAGATGGGAAACTCAGAGTTTTCGGTTACAGAACAGCTGAAATGAGTTAGTTCAATCAACTCTGAGTTGACTGACTCTGAGTTAAGCGCTTGCACCACAGCTATAAAAAGCCATTATCAATGGAGCGCAGATATTACGAGTCACCATGGCAACAGCGCCAGACAAAAAGAGGTGTTGGGTATAATTAATTACCAAGTAATCTAAATATTGTAATTTAATTAAAGGGATTACTCTTAATTCTTCTTTAATTTAAAATAAAATATGATGCAATTACACTAAATAGGCTACTGCATAAACTATAGACCAATTCAGTATAAAACAATAGTGGATTTAGCATACATTTTTAAAAGGTATATTTTTATATAACCTTCTCCCTCTACACACTTTGATCAATTCAAGAATAATTCATGCAATTGTATTGTTAATTTGAAAGCATTAAAAGTGCAGTTTCTTGTCTCTCCTCCTTGTATTAATCAAGTGGTTGAGGTTGATATAGGATTTAGTAATATGTAGACCAATACTTTCTAGAGATAGTAATTATTACATTAATCTAACTACACCGTTGAAGATGTCATTTGTTGTTAATAATTCATAACTATTTTAGAGTAACTGTTATAATATCAGAGGTGAAACTGGAAGAATGTTATTCAACCTAAAGTAGTCTACTATTACTTTGATACATTTTTACTTAAGTAAAAGTAAAAATACCAGTCTAAAAAATCTACTCAAGTAAAAAGTAGTTAATTTAAAACATGAGTAAAAGTTGCTGAGTAACTTGTTTAACAGCGGGGGTGGGGTGGGGGACTCCCCCATGTGGGGTTGTAACGTATGAGAGTTTCACAGTATGAGAACCGTCTCAGAAAATATCACGGTTTATGGTATTAAACAATTGTTAAATATATAAACTGCATTATTAAATTACGGTTATTATTTTCATCAGTTAAAATGACAGTTAAATAAATTAAACATTTGTTCAATAAAACATAATATCAACTAACTTCAATAATTGATTATGATTATGATTGACATCTTATTTTTTATCATGAATAACTTATTAAATTTTATTACAATTTTTTCAATGATTTAATAGAAATATATTATCCAAAACAGTGGTAATCAAATAAAAGTTTAGCAAATGTTTTAATCCTTTAATTTTTTGGCAAAGTGCTGCAAAACAGATTTAGTCAATTAAACCATGGACAAACAATATATATATATATATATTCCTTAAAGAATGTGTAAATACATTTTAGTATTATTGTTGGTGTTTAAACAGCACTTAGGTTCACAGAGTAAGTTACCATGGTAACTGACTCTGAGTATAAGTTACCTCTCTTTCAGAAACGGGCTTGACTTACTCTGCTTTCTCGGGTTTGATATACCCCCCTTTCTGAAACGGAAACCCAGAGTTTCCCTCATTTCAGGGTTAACATACTAAGAGTTTTCACTTAACCTCCTTTTTGAAACAGGCCCCAGATCTTTAAAGAACCATGTTTTTCTCAGTGTGTAAAACACTTTAAAATATAAAGAACCTTTGGTTACACTGTTTTTTACCAATTTTTGCCATTTTGAGACGTCCGAGATTATTTTGAGACGTCCGTCACTTTACCTGTGTGCATCGCCCAGTTTCGGAACAGAGTCGCGTCCTTCTCGATGTTCCAGCCGTGTCGGGCCGCATGTTTCCAGGGAATCTGGAAAACTCTGGCTGACTGCAGTGTAAAGAGAGCACAGAAATATCTACAGTCTTAGAAAAACAAAAAGATTATAGAGCCCTATAGAACTCTATCGAGCCGTTTCTTCAGATCTGTATTGTAGGGTATGTGATATGATTAAAATCTTTCCGTTAAATTTACGGTTAAAAAAAAACGTCAGCAACATTTTAGGTTTTTAGAGTTAAATTAAATTTGCAGCAACAACTATTTAATTATCTAATATAATGTTATTATACCAACCTATTGAAGCAATATATATAATATCTGTTTTATACCAAAACAATGACAGCCACAGCCACCAATCACAATGGAGATGAGAGTCATTATGTCATTATTAGTCAAAGCTAATATAAAGAAGCTGCACAGTGTCATACACACAAACACTAAACACCATCATGGTAGCATGATTACCATTAAAAAATGCAATAAAAATTAATTTGACATCAAATGTAACGTAAAACCCTAATGTACATAACTGATCTTTGAGGAATCGTATTTGTTTCAACAAAAAAACACATCAAATGTGTGGGAATGTCAATTTACGTTTTTTTTTATTTTTTTTTTTCACTGTAAATTAAACGATGACTTGTTCTTTTTCACTTCCACGTCCCGGTATTTTACTGTAAAATTAGCTTAAAGGTATATTTAGATCTATCACAGTTATTCATAGTATGGAAACTTTTTTTAACCAATCAACTGTAGCATTTTTACAGTTTTACCGTATTTTACCGTTAAAATCACAATAATTTTTTACAAATCAAACCCTGTAAGTGTGGAGCATCAGATCGGACCTTGTCTAGCCACACGACTCCAGGGTATCTGCCCGAATCGATCTGTTCCTCCAGCCACGGCCGTAAGCGCAGGCGTCCCTGATGCATCTTCAGTTCTGGTGCGAGTGTGCTTCACTCCTGAGTCTCCCAGGTGTTCACTCGATGCAGTCATGAGCGGCACACACTGAAACACATCACTGACAGTCACATTAGCAACAGGAAACATCACACCTCACTCGCTCTGCTGGAGTCAAAATTGAAATCTCAGCGTCCCCGTACCTGCACAAACCGGTTTGGAGGGTTTCCTTCCAACCGCAGGAAGATTTCTGTGGTATTGAGGGGCCGACCTCAGTCACGCCTCGTCGATCCGACGCTTCTGATGTCAAACCTGCTATACATCAGTTCAGAGGAGTCACAAAGTCATTATTACTGCTGGGACAAACAACTCAACCAAAGCACTGCAGAAGAACTAATCTGGCATCTGTGTGCAGCTCAATACGCTGAGATGTCTTATAGTGGCATATTTGCATAAGAGTAACTCGTTAGATGCTTATCAGTCAATCTCAGTAATGTTGGTGAGTCATTCTTTGCTTTGACTGATTTCCTGTGAACTTCATGCATCTCAGGTATTTTCCAATGAAACAATCTTTGGTCTCACTCTTGTCGTGTGCAAAGATGTTGTTCAACTTCCAGAAAACAAACAAACACAGCTTTTCTTCAACCAATCAGAAGGCTGTAGTTTGGTATCAGATAAAAGATAAAAACATTATGAATCTGGACCAGCTCTGATTAGCTGTTTGATAATACAGGTCAATGAGGAGAGTAGCTCACGTATTCTCTCACTTTTTTAGGTACACCTGTTCAACTGCTGGTTAATGCAACTGTCTAATCAGCCAATCACAGGACAGCAAATCAGTACATGTACAGTAGGTGTACTCAGTACATGTAGGTGTGTAGACATGATCAACTGAGCTTCAGAATGAGGAAGAAATGTGATTTAAGTGACTGAACGTGGCATATGGATGAGTGTTCCAGAAACAGCTGATCTGCTGGGGTATCAGGCATAGCCATCTCTAGTGTTTATGATGGTCTGAGAGAAAGAGGAAATATCCCGTGGGAGAAAATGCCTTGTTGATGCCCGAGGTCAGTGGAGAATGACCAGACAGGTTCAGCTGATAGAAAGGCAGCAGTAACTCAAACTAGAAAGTTCTTTTCCTGAAGAAAATGTAAGTTGTGCTTGGAGTGGCACAACATCGGAACTTGGTTGCTAGGGTGTTTCTAGGCTGTTGCTAGGGTATACTAGATGGTTGTTAGGGTTTTGCTAGGTGATTGCTAGGGTATTCTGAGTGGTTGTTAGGGTGTTGCTATGCAGTTGATACGGTACTTGGCATGGTTGCTAGGCAGTTATTATGGTATTCTAGGTGGTTGTCAGGGTATTACTAGGCGGTTGCTAAGTTGTTCTAGAGGGTTTCTGTGGTTTTGCTTAGTGGTTGCTAGGATATCCTGGGTGGTTGCTAGGGTGTTGCTAAGCAGTTGCTAAGATGTTCTGGGTGGTTGCTAGGGTGTTGCTGAGATGTTCTGGGTGGTTGCTAGGTTATTGTTTGGTGGTTTCTAAGGTGTTCTGGGTGGTTGTTATGTACTTGTTTAGTGGTTGCTAGGATATCCTGGGTGGTTGCTATGTGGCTTGCTATGGTAACATGGGTGGTTGCTAGGGTGTTGCTGTGGTAACATGGGTGGTTGCTAGGGTGTTGCTAAGCAGTTGCAAAGATGTTCTGGGTGGTTGCTAGGGTGTTGCTTGGTGGTTTCTAAGGTGGTTACTCAGATGGTTACTATTAAGTTTTTATAGAGTTTTTAGCATGTGCTTAGCCTGATTTAACACTTAGCTAATCACTCAAAAGAGTCAAAAGAGCCAGCCCCCATCTCCATACGATGTTCTGATGCAGAGATATAGGTTTTCCCCTACGGTTGTTAGGGTACTCGGTTTAATTGCTAGGGAGTGGCTTGGTAACTGACAGTGATGATGTTACTCCAAAGTCTGCTTGTCAGTATGAATGATATAAATCAAACACAACTCCTCTATGACGTTCAGATTTGAAGATATTCCTCTTTGGATTTTGGTTGCTAGGGTGCTTGACAGTGGTTGCTAGGGTGCTCGATAGGGGTTGGAATTTGGATTAAAAAGGGAGTCTAACCTGGAACTAGCAAGGCATACCTAATAACGTACGTACCCAATGTTTGAGTCTTTTCTGCAGCTCGGGTAGAATATCTCAACCTTCAACCTTAATCTGGTCTGGAATGACATCATTCATCTGTGTCAGCTTATGTTTACTCAGACCTGCATCATTAAACACAAGGCATCATCCCTAATGTAATCCAAGAGGGAAACAGCAGCAGAACATGCCAGGACAATAACTAATGAGGAACTAAAGAAATCACAGATTATGTACACACAAGATGACAAACAAATGAAAGCAGACTCAGGGGAAACTAAAGTGTAACCAAGGAAACAAACACATGAAGTAAAAACAACAATGGGAACAAAATAAACTAAAAGTGCCAGAAGACCATAGCCTAAATGTTACAGTAATGCAGTGATTCCTTCATTGAACTGAGTTTGTTTTTATCCATTCATCCACCTGTTTATAAATGATTGCTCAGTTGATTTGTAATTTCACAGCACACATGAGCCCCCATTAACTTCACTTCACACACTGACCCAATACAGGACCAACATTACCAAAAACTGCACAGCCCCAGCCAGAGCTTTTTAACATGATTTGTATTCCATTGATCTCGGTAGTTCGCTGTTCTGGTGTTTCAGAGTCTCCTCAGTGTTAAACCGAGCCGCAGAATCTTTACAGAAATGTCATGTGATTTTTCTTCTTGTGGCTCGCCATCCCCCGTCCCAACCCGTGTTCCAAGAACGTTCTGTGAATGTTCCCATTAAGTTATCAAAACGTTATTATGGAATGTTCTCTAAATGTTAAAAAAAAATCTAAGTTATATATGAAGAGTTCAGATGCAAAAGCCTCTAAATGCCATTTGAAATTTTCTTCTTTAATGATGTTGTTTATCAAGCTTGTATATTTAAGTTCAGTGATTTCACTTAAATAACAATTTATTAATTGTTTATGTAATTATCATTGCCATTTAAGTGAAATTACTGAACTTAAATATACAAGCTTGATAAAAATTATCATTCTAGAAGAAAATTTCAAATGGCACGTAGAGGCTTTTGCATCTGAACTCTTCATATATATATATATATATATCTATATGAATATCAGATGTGGACTCCACGTGTGCCAGATGTGGGCCGGATCTGGGCCGACACCATGTTGCTCTTTTTTGTGGTTAAATGAGCGTTAAGAAAACATTAAACTTTAGAAATCTTCAAACATAATGGGAATGTCCTGAAACAAGGAGGAACATTTAAAAAACATTAGATGATGTCCAACTAAAAGTTTTTCGGAAAAAAACATGGCATGAATGATTTATAAATAATGTTTATTAATGCTAAATGTTGTGTTGGCTTGAACTGTTACGCTGTTAATATGCTCTCCCAGAACTAGACAGTATTGATAGTCTGCAATTATTTTACGGACTGGTCTAAAGTCGCATTGAACTGAAATGATGTATTATTATTGTTATTATCAGTATTGGTATTGTTAATATTTCTGCTGCTATACCACTGTCACTTCTGTCAGGACGACTATTGTGCCAGAACTAATGCTACACTTGATTATTATTATTACTACTTACTACAAATATTAATATTTTTATGATTGTTTCAAATTGTCTAGATATCTGTTAATCACTAAAAAATAGATAATAAAAAATGTTATCACACTGGAATAACCTATTCATTAAATTGATTACTGTACCTGTAAACACTATCTATATTTCTTTATATTTAGTTTGTTTGTTTTTTCGTTTTTTTATCCCCTTTATGTGTACTTGTGTTTGTCATTTTGTCTATTACTTTGTATGCCACATGTCTTGTTCATAAAAAAAAAAAAAAAATGCTCTGCCACTAGGGGTCGCTATTATCCTGGAGCGTTTAGCTACTTCACACGTTACTTCTGCGTTTTCTTTTATTGGTACTAATGTAAGATACAACACTAACGTTTGGAGAGCATTTTAAAGGGCAGATAACTCTGAATGAACGCTCTACTACTGTTACTGTAAGAAACGTGTGCTCTGTGTTCCCAGTCCGCGCTCTGCTGGTGTAGTTCCCCTGTCAGCCACCAGAGGCCCTCAGTTAAACTCTCTCTGTTAAACTCTCTCTCTCTCAGTTTAACTCTCTCTGTTTCTCTCTCAGTTTAATGCTCTCTATTTAACTCTCTCTCACTGTTAACTGTCTCTGTTGGCCGTTTGTTCATGATGTTCTTGTGTTTCTTCAGTTTTCTTCAGTTCAGCTTTATGTCATTTGTAATATAAGCCCCGCTGGTCTAGACTACTGCTACCTACATTTCTTTGCCCTCATCATCTTGCAGTTAATGTTTGTTTGTTTGTTTGCTTGCTTCTGCTGACCTCTGCCTGTGTGTTGGACTTTGTTCTGTCCGCTTTAGGATCCTCCAGTGTGTGGCTTCACTGCTGTCTCATTCAGTGCATTATCTGATAAACACTGATGTCACCTCTGGGAACAAGGTAATTACTCTCAGTTCTCAAATAAACAGTTGCACTGACTGATGGATTTTGCATAGATGTTGTACACACACACACACTCACTCACTCACTCAATCATTTGGGATCAGTGTGTATTGTGTCACTGAGAGGTTTTATAAAAGTTAAACTCACGTCCTCAAAAATCAAGCCCTAAAGTGTTTTTAACATGAAAAACCAAGCAGATCTCCTGTCCATCATCATCTGTCCCTGATATACAAGACCATATTTTAGTGTTTGTCTTCTGTAGTGTTCATGTTTTTAAACATTATCTTATATCTAAATCAAAAAATCTTTGTGTAAAAAGTCAGTTTTTCATAAAAAAGTACAAAACTTGCCTCTGCGATAAAGTGGAGTTGAACATAAATAAATGTATTTTGCTACATTCCACCACTGGTTATTTGGAAAATTAAACTAACAAAATTGATTGTCACAACATTTACAAATTGTCTCTAACTATCTGCTTCTCAATGACAAATTTGAGTTAAATATGTTCACCAGAGAATTTATTTAAGAGAATAAACTATATAAAATTGCATTTTGGTAATATTTACATCTTTACATTTACATTTATTAATTTAGCAGGCGCTTTAATCCAAAGAGACTTACAAATTAGAACAATAGAAGCAGTTAAACTAACAATAGGACAACAATACGAAAGTGCTATATTCTCAGTTGAATCTAATGCAATACATGTACTTTTAAAAAATATAAATATATATTAATAGATAGAGAAGAGAAGAGGTGTTAGTATTAATGGATCAAGTGCTGCTGAAAAAGATGCGTCTTCATCCGTGTCTTGAGAATGGCCAGGACTC